GGAAGGCAAGTGAAGAAATTATAAAATGAAATACTACTCATATTTGATTGGAAAAGAATGTTATTTTTATAGTAAAAAATATTTCTATAAACATTTCTTAAAATGCACAATTGCAACTTAAAATGCTTACATGCAAGTACAGTTTTTTTCTCAGTGCCTTAATATAGCAACAGCAACAAGAAAAGCCACAAAGCTGCTAACGGGTAAACGGTAAACCAGCGGCCGCCTGAATCCTTTTCCCCAGCCTTTGTATGTGTGTGTGTGTATCTGTGTGTGTGTTGTCGCGATGAGAAACGTGCCGATGCATAATCATTGAGGCCATTATCATTTATTTCACTCAAAGGTGTCGTTGCTGTTTCGCTTCCTTTCTGCGCCGTGTGCCACCGTAAAAATCAAAAACACACGCACCGCCAACAGAACAGATGTAAAAGAAACTCGAGTTTAGCTAATATCAGCAGACTTTAAGACCCAAATGGACTATCCAATTTGCGAGACTTGCAGGACTTCAAAGGTTTTACCCAGGTTTACATCAGCTAAAAGGTAGTATTCAGATATGCTACACATTATTAAACCTTTGTAGGAAAGTTGAAAGAAATTTTTTCAAATAAACCATTTAATCGTTCAGTGCCGAGCGACCTGAAAACCCGCCAACGATTAGCAAATAACCCGACGAAAACGCCGTTGCGAATTTACTACCGCATCCACAGCAAACAGCGGACAAACAGTGTCCTGTGCTGGAAATTTATGAACCCGACTGCCATGCTAACCAACTCAACCGAATCCCACCCAACCCATTGTCCTTTTGTGCGAACGGTGTTCGCGGGGTTGGCCTATTTGTTTAGGTCAAAACTATAAAAATCCAACAAACTATAGCGTAATGAAATCAAAATAAAACAGGACCCACATTTCCATGCATAAGTCAACACAAAAAGAGAAGTGAGGAACCAAACAATCAACTGTCATTGCATTGCCGTGATAAATATCAAAACGAGCAGCGGTTAAAAAAGATTTTTACATTTGAAAAAGGCACTTGGCTTAACCCATAAAAAGTTAATTATTTATTAAGATCAGTTTTATGATCTATTCGCTTTTGTTACAAAGCATCCAGACGCACGGATTTTAATACCATTCTACGCAACGAGCACTTAAAATGTATTAATAGTGGAGTTGGGACATCTGGCAAGGTCCAAATCGCAAAAGGCCGACACTGCAAACTGGAACAACTACAAAGCGCAGAGCGCAAAAAAAATTAAATTCTAACATTAAAATAAGTTTTTAAAACTAAGCAGCGCGGCTTATGTCACAAAGAGAGAGAGACACAAAATAAAGCGGCAAAAAAGCCCAACAAAACCACAGGACAGACGGCATTTAGAATATAAATTTAGTTAAACAAATCTCGGACGAGGCGGCCTCCCCAAGGTACGAACCCTACCAGAGTTGCCACCGGCATATATGAGTTTTCTGCGCCGTAAAAAATTATAGGGTTTGTTTTAGTACCTCAACAATTTATGTAAGAATATTCGATTTAAATAAAATTTTGTACAGCTCTAGAAATAAAATAAAAAAATGTGATTTTGTAATACTTGTTATTATTTTGATGATTTTGTAATTAAAATACCTATCATATAGTATTTATACTTTTCGAAAATTTATATATAATCCTATTATAACCTGCAATGATAAACAGAATATCCCAATTTCCCGACAGTGAGGTATTGGCAAAGCTTTTGACCCCCAGACCCCCAAAGTGCATTTCGTTCGCTTTAGTTCTAAGGTTATCCCTCCACTGCCACTGTGCCCTCCCCCTCCCCCTCTTCCTCCCTCTCCCCCTCTTGTGTATTTTCTTGTTCTGCTTCTTTATCTTTTTGCCATGTAGGCTTCTCTGGCTCGTATTTTCCACCTCCTTTTCCCCGCCGCCAACCGCTGACAAACGTCAAAATATAATTTTTGCGTGGATTTGCGTTGCGACCAACAACAACAGCAACAGTAATAAATGTCAGGGGGCTTCAGACCCCCACCAAAAAAAAAAAAAGAAAGGGGAAAAAAGTGAAACAATTTTTGCAACTGCTGCCTGCTCCTTATCTCAGGCACGTTAATGTGGCCTATGTGGCTTTGTGGGGGAAGGGTTGCCGGCATTGCATGTCCTACTGTGAGACATAATTTTTAATAATCTACAACACAGCCCGGCCACAAAAGGGGTGGCGAAAACGGGGGGCGCCCGAAAATACGCGCATGCAAATGGCTTAATTTAATATATAATTATACCCTGACAACGCAGGAAGACACCCACAAAAAATAGGGCTATAAAAAATAGGGACTGCAAGGGTATCTATGCATATTCATACATATGTATGCGTCATAAAAAAGCCTAATTAGAAGTTATTTGAAAATAATCTTCATTCAAAAAACTATTATTGTATATTTATTGTTGTTTTCCCGAACTTGAATAGGTCGTGTTGCAGTGTACGTTTTGAAAAATGTAATCTACTAATCAATAACGTTGCTCGATATTTTTTCAAACAAGATAAATTCATTAAAAGCAAGGGCATCCCAAAGTTTTTTCAATTTCCACTCCATAACGCCCACTTCGGGAGTGATTTCCGTGGTTTCCACCCGTACACCTTGTTGTTGTTGTTGTTGTTGCTTTTATATCTGACTCCGAAGGTTGGCCAAAAGGTGTTAAGACGAAGATGCCACACATACACATGAGGAAAATTGTCTTGTCTAAGCTCCAGATTGATGCCGCCTTCGCCGCAAAACCCAATCCCAGAGCTGTAATTAAATTATCATGCCAACAGCATAACGCTGCCCCCCACCCATGAAAGTGTGCGAAGGTGTGGGCGGTGTTGTAATTCAAACAGGAGTATAGGAGTACAGGAGTACAGGAGCCAACGCAACGGGTTGACATTAGCGCACTTTTATGGTCTTCGCCGGATAAGTATGTCCCTAAACCCTCCGCCCGTGGAGTCTCTTTTTTCTATGATTAGCTACGAAATTTATGCCAGCCGCAGAGGCATTTTGCGGCAGGCAGTTAAAACAGCAATAACTGCAACGCCTATTTATCTAAAAGTTAAGATTCCGTCAAAAATTTTAAAAGCTCACAAATCAATGCATTTTATAATAACGCTGCAGTGAAACCTGACGATCAAACCTCTTGTGAAAACCTTTTTTAATTAAAGAGAAAACATATATATGGTATGTATTCAAAGTAAATACAATCAGTAAATATATAGATACAATCAAGTTTCAGTAGACTGTTATTCAAATGAAAGGCGAGCAAAAAATATACAAAAAGAGGAAACGTGGGTGGATTGCCCATCTTGGACAGCAGCTGTTGACCAAATGTGGACTTAGGACGTGCTTTTAATTTTTAAAAACTGCTCTTAAAACGCGATAAAACACGTTGAAATGGCAAATAGAGGAGGGAGGGTGGACCATACAAAAAAAAAAAAACAAGCAAAGGAGAGTAAAAGATGGAAATTAGTAAAAGAGACGAAGAAGGCAAGTTGCATATGTACTTAACCAGTGACATGTGTGAGTGTGTTTGAGATATATATTTTATTCATATAGACTTACAAACCCACACACGAGCAAATCCCAAGTTGGGGAAATAAAAAATATGGAGAAAAAAATGTGGGGGGGGGTTTTGGGGGCTGCCAGTGTGGACAGTGCATCTGAAAAAAATGTGTAAAGCGTGCATTTACATAATGAAAGATGTAGCAGTGCAAGTGTATGTGATTTTTTTATAGTATATGTGAGGCAAAAGGATTAGCGATGGTCGACATGTGCGTGGCACAACCAAAAAAAAAACGGAATAAAAATAAGGGGAAAGGAAAAAAATTAAATTATAAAATATTGAAGCGAGTAAGAAATGCGCAAAAGGGACAGAATGGTGACACCACTGCTTACACACACACTAACAAAAGCACTGAAAGAAATACTCTAATGCCAGCCAAAAAATTGAAATTTTTGATAAGAAGCCTAAAGAATTTTGCAATCATTTTTTGTTTCCGTTATAAAAATATAAATAAATATAAAAATATAAATATAACCTAATTTCCAAACAATGGCAAAGGGACCACACATTTTTTGATTGTGCAACGAAAATTAATGTCTTTTTAGATACAAATGCAATTTATAAGCACTGCGCTCGTGTGTGTGAGGGGTCCCTAAAAATGCTTTCACATGGCTTCTATCACCCACTCCAGCCACGCCCCCACTTCTCCTCTCCTTTTCTTTTTTGCAACATAATTTTGAATAGCATTAAAATTATTAGCTACAAATGAATAAAAAACGAGCTGGGGAGCGGGGAAAATGAGGCAGCGGGGCTGGAAAAAAATTGTGAGAAGGTCTAGAAGCGGAGGAAAGAATTGGGCGTACCATCGTTGGCCATCCACAGAAGTCCCCCGCTTTGGCCGCCCAGCAACAAATGCGCATAATGAGCTCTGGTCAGCCAGCCTAGACGGCCGTGGGAGGTTGCCATCGCAGAGATTTACGCGCGACAAGTTTTTCTTGCCCTTTTCCACAACGTAATTCTTTTCCATGCCCTATCCGTGGAGTCTGCGGATTTGGTAACCCTTTACGGGGTTATCTAATCGAGCTGCACATTTGGATCAGAAGTTATCTTCTATTCTATATTATTGTATTGCATTTTTAAAGAGATATATTTTGAATTTATTGGCATGCATTTGCCATTTGTTGTAGAGGTGTTTAAGAGTATTGCATACTTCGCTTAGTCTGTCTCCTATTTTAGGTACCATTTTTTGTTGCCTCGCAACATCCAGCTAAACACTTTTCAGTTGATATCGCAAATCCTTTTCGCTGGTGCTTACATAATGATATGTGGCCGCAGATGCCAAGTGAGGGAAAAATTAAAAAAGTGGAAGGAAGTACCGTCTGCTTGCTTTTTTCTGCGCTTGCATGCAATTTGCGCAAAGCGCGACAAGGGTTTCCTTCGATCGTTCTTAGTTCTTTTACGGCCATTGTAAAAAAAAAACGAATTTTCGAATTATTAAACATACATTTAAAATCAGTTTTATTCTGTTATATCATGCTTGCTGTATTGTGTAATATATCAGTTAAACGTAACTCTTAACTAGGCAAAAAAATGATCGATTATATGGTAAATAGGGGGCGTAATAGTAGCTCCACTTTCCTCAAATCAGAGGTGCATTTCATCGTCGGTCAGCTGTTTGGGCCTCCGCTTCCGGCGCTTTCGTGCCTTTCGCCGCAGACGATCGAACTTCCGGATCCGGTCGCAAATGAAGTGCTTGAGGTCATCGCCCTCGGCGGCCGACTGACGACTGCACGACATGGTGAATATTATTAGCGAGTTAAGGTAGAAAAAGAATCTTATATCGTATTCATCCATCGATGGTTTGCCGTTGGATCGATGCTCCTTCTGCCGTTGTTCCCTCTCCCGTTCCTTTTGATAGTTACTAAAATTGTGCTTGCGCAATTTGGGGGCGGGGATATTGGGCGTTGGATGGGGTTCAAAGGTCGAGCGCTGGCGCTTCGACGTGCACAAATGTTTGCGTAAAAAGTCGTAAATGCTCATGTTCCTTGTAACGATCGTGGTGGTGGTGTTGCTAATGTTTATCGGTCCCGATTTATGCGGCGCCACATGCTGTAGATTAAGCCAACTGCCGCCTGCCGCCTGCACGCGAGTTGGCAACGATAGGGCCATCTTTATATTATTATCATTATTATTATTGGCCACTCTCGTTGTCGTTTGAAATGTAATTAGCATTGGCTCATTGGTGTTATTGTTGCCGATGTTGTGGCATCGGTTTTGGTGCTCTTGCAATCGTTGTTGGTTTTGATGGTTCAGATTGTAGTTCGGATTTGTTGGGGTTATTGTTGTTGATTTGGTTGTTTTTGTGTGATGATCTACAGCAGTGACTGCACCCCGTCAATGATCCGCCACCAGCGGTCCCCAGAACATTTTTGAAATCTTCGAGTCGTCCTCGGTTAAGAAGAACTGGCGGCCCAAATGTACAAACTCCTTGAGCGACAATTGGCCATCGCCGTTCTTGTCTATCACAGCGAATGAAACGGCAGCGTCGTCTTCAGTCAGTCCCAGACAGCGGAAGAAGAGCTTGTATTGTTCGAGATCCAAATGGCCAGTGTGATCAAAGTCCACAGCCTAGAATGTAAAAGAAAATACGAAAAAATAAGCCAAATTCGCCTTTAAATGAAGTTCACCCAATACCAACCTTAAACAAATAGGGCAAGAAGCGACCAATGCGCTTGGCCATCTTCTTGTCGTTGAGACGATGGTGCAGATCGGAAAGAAACTGCTCAGCAGTCACCAGATTGTAGGGGGTTATCTCCCCGAACTGCTCCTCCCACGTTTGCTTGATCACATCGTTGAATTCGGCAGCGACCTCTGGGGTCAAATGGCCAAGATCGTTGAAGCGTTTGGCCAGCAAACTGAAGTCGTCGAAGGACACCACGCCGTCGTGGTTTACGTCCAAAATGCGGTGCAGGGTACGCATCTTGCGGCGCCAGAAGGCTGAGTCGCCCTAAAAATTAAAAAAAAATTATTTTTAATTAAATTACAATTTTTAATAAATAATATAGGTTATGAGATGGATTTTTAAAACACAAAACTCCTTAAAAGCTTTTTTGTATTTAAACTTTGAACTGCTTTGTTAGGTTGCGTTACGGCGTCATGGCCCAAAAGCTTTGAACTCAAAAGCTGTACAGAACTTTGTCCTGCTTGCTTTTTAAGGTACTTTTACAGGACACTTTTAAACTGCTTGTGTGCTTTTATTGCTTACACAAAGTAAATCTACATGCTTTTAGAATAAGCTCATTACAGGACTTGTATGAACTGCTTACAAAAGCAGTCAAATGACAAACAGCCTTGTCACTTGGTTTTAAAAATGAAGCTTTGATCTCGAAATAAACCTATAGCTGAACCAGTTAACACTGTTAACTGGCCACTGTTAACCAGGTTACAATGTTAGTGGCATTTGAAAATACCACAGAGCAGGTTCAAAAAACGGCATTGAGCGCGATAACCAAGTTTCGAAACACGTTTCTTGGCTCCCCAAGCAAACACAATTGAAATTTCTCAGCCACGTGGAGGTGTGTGCTTTTGGGCCTCTTTTATGGGTTATAAATTCAAGATATGTATTTGTTAATGCGGTTTTGTCAGCCAGTTCACTCACCCGTTCGCTGCGTTTGGAATCCATTTTCTGGCGACGACGCTCGAACTCATCGTCCGAATCGGAATCGCTATCACTTTCCAGCTCTCGTCGCAATTTGGCCGCTCCGGCGGATTTCTTTGAATATTGACGGACGGCCTGGACCACGGCAGTTGGCATTTGATGCCACAGCAGTGAGTGTGCTGCTCCATGTCCACAGATATGGCCACCAGTTGCCAGGAAAAGGCGCTGAAATGAGGAGATAATAACAATAAATTAGTATATTTATTTCATTTTACATCTTTATGTATGACAATAGTCTGTTACTATAACAATAGAATATTGCCCAACCACTGTAGTTTAGTTTATTTTTGTTTTTTAACCCCATGCTGACTGAACTTTGTTGTTTTCGATATGGTTGCTATGTGTGCCCTTCGGCCTTAAAAAAGTCATTTTGTTTTTAATTACAACTTGGCGCACTGCTGTTGTTCTTTTTTGTTGTGTTATTGTTTTCCTATTGTTAAGGTCAGTTTTGTTTACTCACAAAACAATTCTAAACCCGATTTGATATCGGTTTTTACGAGTGTTTTCAAGTTTTGTTTGCCCCAAAAAAGTGCCGGGAGTGACTGTCAAATTTATGGTTGGAACTCTTTCAATTTACAGTTTTAGAGGCTCTAACTTAAAAAAAAAAAACACGTGGCGATCATATAACAAAACAAATATGAGCAGATGGAAACCAGTTTGCGATAAAATATTTTGGAAAAGATGTGAGAAAATAGCTGTAAAAGGCCAAACCAAAACTGTATTGCATTTAATGTGATTTTTAAGCGGATTCGAAACTTCAAAACACAAGAAATTGGCCTAAGGCACGTAAAAATAAAACACAAAAGCCCCCCAACATTGCAACCTTTAAAATTAAAACAAATAATTATAGATGCAGCAAACCAGTTCGGAGAAATGTATTTTTCCATCATTAGACCGACAGCTTCCGTCAATGTCATTAGGAAAAGATAAAGAGCTTGCTCTTTTTTAATTACAAGAAACAGAAAAAACTTTTGTAAACGTTTTGAATTTCAATGGCTCGATAAGAAAGAATCCAAATACAGATGTTGGCAGCCACCGACGACGATGATATCATACAATACCATTATCATAAAGCCCGCACACTTATTGTCGGACTGCTTTGGAACCTTTTTCGGTTTTTTGGTTCCAGTGGCTTCGCTTGGTTAAACGAACTTTGGATTGTTTTATTTTTTCGTAAACAAGTTTCTCCAAAAACGAATTAATGAATGCGAAAAACGGGCCTCCTTTCATTTATATTATATGTCTGCGCGTCTCGATAACAAAAAAGAAACACGTTTCGACCATAAGAGAAAAAAAGAAACAAAAAACAAAGCCCATGATTTATGTAGAAGATGCAGAGAGGCAAATTAAATTCAAAGTCGAGCAACAGGTCAATGTTAATCAACAGCAAAAGGAAAAATCGCGAAAAAAAAAAGATATGCGGAATTTCATCTAGAATCACTTCCTGTGACTGTCAAACTTCTTTTGGGGGGGAAAAGAAAAATCTAGTAGGAGGTTTTTCTTGTGTTGTTATGCTTTTGCGCATCTTTTCCCAGCCACAGAATTTGCGCAGTTTTCCGACTTTCGAAATGCGAGGGTTGTTGTCGGCGGCAATGGAAAACTAGCTTTCACCTGAATACACAGGGGAAAATAGCAATAGCTGATGTTGGCGTAGCCGGTTACATTTATATTGAGCCAATAACATTAGCATAATATTACAAATTTCGAAACCAAAACATTTATGCAAATAGGGCTTACAAATATGAACAGGTACATTGGAATTCAGATAAATTATACAATCTAGAGCTTACTAAGCTACTAAATAAAATCATTTCTTTCCTATTTGTTGCAGTGTAATATATTTTGTTTGCATTACTGTTTCAGGTTTCATTCATAGCATATAGGGAAATGCGTCTTTTGGCGCCTCTTCAAATTTATTATCGATTGATTTGATTGGATTGCTGCGCCCTTTAAGGGGTTATATCCAGTTGCGAGGCCAAAAAAATGAGCTTTTTTGAAAATTATTTTTGGAGAGGCTATTTATTGTATGAATACGTAATATATATGAAAAGATAGGTCATTATTTCTAGTTTTAGAATATATTTAAAAAAAAAAAATATTTTGGACTCCGTCGGTCCTGTAGAGGATCTCCCGAGGGTCCACTTCAAAAAAAGGTTTTGCGGTGAGCAAAATATCTCCGGTCCAAATGATCAGAAATACAAAAAACCGGAAGGATTACGTAAAGAATAGACAAATACTGGTAATGAGACTTGGGATTTTCAAAATTTTGATTTTTGACAAAATGGCGGCTTCCCAAACATAAAACTTCGTTTTTGGCACAAAAATTTCAACTTTGAAGTGGCTAAAAAATCGAAGTTTTTGTCGGAGCCAAAATTCCAAGTTTCATTACCTGAAAAAATATCTAAGAAGAGAATGTGAAAGTTTCAAGTCAATCGGACAAGCCGTCTCTGAGAAATTTTGCTCACCGACATTGAAGACATAGTTTCGAGAAAAACGCATTTAAAGTTTTGGCTACTAGTTGAACTACATGGGAGACCTCTTTACAAATACACTGATTACTCCAATACTATTTACCGGAATACTTTGAAATTTTCAGATAATCTTCTTAGATATATATACATTCAAAATAGGCAAAAAAAAAATTTCGATTTTTTCAAAATCGCAACTGGATATAACCCCTTAATGATTGATTGTTAAATATTTGCCAATTTCCTCGATCAGAGAAAACAAACAATATATCTTTGAAATAAGCAAAATTGAAAGACCGAAGATATCTTTTCTTTCAGAAAACTATCATATATCAGTGGTTTAGTTTCAATAAAAATTAATGATTCCCTAGAGTTCTTATAGTTTGTGAGCTACTGCTACAGTTTATTTGGCACTGGCCTCGTTTCGTGAAACTCCCCTCTCACAGTCTCTCCCCAATCATTTCCCATTTCCCCTTCTCTCTGTGTTTTTCCTCTTCCTCTCCGTTTACAATTCCCCTTGCCCCGTATTTTTTCTAAATTGCAATTCTATTTCTCTGTTTGGCTCGTCTTCATGTTCGAAAACGTTAGTTTTGAAAACTGATTTTGAACCCCACATCTAAGATTACTGTTTTAAAACCTCTCTTTTTAGAATACTGTCCGGTAATTGAATTAGCGCAACTTAAACTTCTTATACACTTGACCAAAAACTGATGGACTTACTTGGCATTCGCTGTGTGAAATGGGCGTGTTCGGGGGCGGGGAGGCGGTCTGCTGCAGAGCGCCAACAGTTGCTGCCATGTTGCGTTCCAGAATTTCTCTCGAAGTGCGCAAAATACCGCGGCTCACAATGGAGAATGCCATCTTGTTTTTCGTTTAAATATTCTCTCGATGTTCTTCAATTTTTTTCTTGGATTTTCGCTTCTTTTTTACAGTTTGAGCTGCACTTCGTATAATGTGCAACGTTGTTTCTTTATGGTTGTTGTTGTTTAACTCTGGATGGTTTTATTGCACCGCGCATTTAACAACCGGTTTTTGGGATGCACCACAAAAAAATGTTTTCTTTTATTTTTATCCGCTTTATTTTAATACACTTTTGGTTCGCTAACTTCTTTTTCGATTTCTCTGGTTTTCAAGTTTTTTTTCTGTTGTTTTGAATATTGTTTTTTTTCGTTTGCTTGGGAAGAAACACAACCGTTCGCTTAAGCGTTCGAATTCGTTTTGAAAACCATCGCTGCGCAAAGAAAAGAAGTCGACGTCGACGCCTGTAAAGCAGAGCGGTCTGTCAGTGTGTGTGTGAGCGGGAGTTCGAGTGACTGTGTGTGAGTGAGGGAGAGGTCTGCAAAAGAAGGGTGCGGGGACAACAGCTGCTACTTAGAAATTGTTGCCAGAACCAGACTATACAAAACAGATGTGCCCAAATTAATAGTAGTTAGTTACTTATTTAAAAATTTACAGAGAAATATTTATATGTATATCCTGGTATGAAAAAAAATAATGAGCTATTTTCAAGTGTGATTATTTTAGAATTATTAGAATATTTATTAATAAAGCCTACAAATTTACGATTTCGGCCTACAGATAAATAATTAATAAAACACTATTATTACTATAAATGTGAACTCTGCTGTGTGTAAGTAGGCATACACACGCAGGGGAACCATGTAAGCCGGTTAAAGAAGAAGAAGAAGGAGCATAAGCAAAAACAAACAATCACCAAACTCAATGACTCTAAAACCTTGCTTAAATGGTGAATTTTATTCAGTGTAATATGGAAGTGCTCAGGAAAAATGATTTTATAAATACATATACACAAACATGCATAGCAATATATCATGGGTAAATGTAAACGAAAGAAACCTAAGACAAAAATTGAAAAACAAAATATCATAAAATGTGCGTATTTAGGTCGCTGCGTGTGACAAACTGTCGGTCCAATACAATATGCCCTAAGTCACCCTTCTCCCCTCCAAAATGTGCCCCCCTTACGCACACACTACACATGCAAACACCCATACACACGCACAAATAGTCAGTGAGTTTGGTGTCTCGGTTTTTCTGTTTTTCGTTTCTGTTCTACTTCATTGCCCCACACAAAACGCATGTTTACACACACATCTGCGGTAAAAATTATAGTTCCATTACAAGGATTTTTAAAAATAAAATAGAGTCTTTATTAATACCAGAAGAAATTTGTTTGTAATGTTCTAAATATTTCTTAAAAGTATGCAATAAAATATTTAATTTAATAAAAATAGATAAAAAACACATCCATAAAGACTCACTATTATTGGTGCCTCAACTGTAGACACTCATACACCCTTATTACATAGGTGTACGTGAGAGATTGTATAATAGTCTTGATCAAATAGAGCGCCACTGGACTTGGACCCAAAAAAACATGCATCGAAAACAAAAACAGAAACAAAAAACGAACGAGCAACAAAAAAATAATGAGGAGGAGCGATTTGAATGGATATCTATGACCGGCGAAAATTAAAGGGAATTATCAAGATCGCGGCTAACTATCATCAATTATGCTGCTAGTTAAAATCAGCGGCAATCAAATTCAATATTTTTATAAACCGAACCCGTAGGATCTGTAACGGTTTGGCAAGCACTGGTTCCGCCAAGAAGCGCAACCTATTATGTATGTAAAAACTATAAATCGAAGGCCCCCCACTTTACCGTTTCGAATGCAGCGGCGAGTGCAGTGCACTCTGCGGAGGCAAAAACTTGGAAATACAGACAGAAAGCCAAAACATGTGGAGCTGGCCGGGAAGTTTCCAAAGCGGTTCATGCGCAGCCGAAATAATGATGTTTGGCCCAAATCCGGTTTGTGGATTATGGAAGATTAAGAAACTTCTTATTTTTTTGCGAGAAAACGATTTTATTGTTCTATTAACAGTAAACCAAGTTAATGAGGTTTACTGTTATTAGAAGTACATACTAGAAAATAATGAAAAGCCCAAGAAGTTATTCTACTAAAAACCACAAAATAGAGCATCATCGAAACCCCCATAAACGTCACTTGTTTTGAGGTGGACGTGTGTGCGAGAACAACCGGCGCATCGGCAGTCTGCTGACTTTCCGAACGTCACGTAACGCCAGGTCCACGGACAACAAAAGCGCCACAAAACAACTGCAAACATATGACCACCAAAACAGGGTCTCAGCCGATTGCAAGTCTGAATGATATACAAAGTATAGAATACATAGTATATAGCGTGTGTGCAGTTTAGCATGCGCCCGCTACAAATACATAAATTATAATCTGTTTGGTGCTGCACCTGCAAATGCAAACAGAGGAAAAGTGGAAAAATGGAAAAACAAACAAGCAACCGCTATCCCTTTGATTGAAGGCACACGACCTGGCTAATGACGTCAAAGCGAGTTATTACCATTACACCCACGATTCACATGACATCTGCTATTTGATTACATAGCTCTTAAATTTAAATTACCGAAAATTAAAATGCGTAATAAACAAGCGTACGCGAAAAAGGTGTACAAGCGCAGTGGAACTACGACTTGAGTGTGTTTTCACCATCTCCAAACAGTATCTTAAAGATAAATAGTTTACAACTTTATTATCTGTAATATTTTTTGGATTACCTAAAACTAAATGACGATTCAAAAACATTTTTAAAGATTTATAGGTCTCGAACATTATGGTGTATAGAAATTTCTTACTACATATTTTCAAGTTTGACTTAGCTGATGCCCACTGTTTTGTAATTGAAAGCCCGCTCCCCAGTTTGTGCTTCTGTTTCAAATGTTTTTTTGGGCGTGTGCCTGGGATCTAATCGGAATGGGTGGCTTGTTGCTGACACACACACGTGTGCTGTGCGAAGTACACAAAATATTGGACAAGATCGTCTTGTCTCGAAGGGGAAGCCTTGTGCTCCATGCTCTTCGCCTTTTTTTTCGTGAATTCTACTTCTACGTTTCGAGTATTTCTTGTCGCGCTTTTCAAGGTCCACTGTTTCACAGTTTTAATGCCATTTCAGATTTCCGCAACGCCATTTAAATCGATGTGCGCTTGTGTGCGAAGTGCGAGAGTCTGCTGTTGTTATTGTTGTTTTCCTGCTTTTCAGTTTTTGGCGTACGTGTTGCGCCCCAACGCCGGCTCAAAAAAAGTTAAGAAAAACAAGAATAGAGAAAAACCAGACAAAAAAGCATCAGCCCAGCAGCAACATGTGAGCAATGTTTTTGTTGATATTGTATGCTGTTTTATGCTTCTGAAACGACACTAATAAATATGAGTTCAACGTACACATGATCAGATGCGGTTATGTATCTTTAATTGTATAACTTCAGACAATAAGTGGCAACTTTTGTTCATTTGTACATAATTATTTTTTGAAAAAACAAAATAAATAAATAAAATGTAACAATGCTTTTAAATAGTTGTGAACTAAATGTAATTATTTTATTTTCTTATACATATTTTAATCATTTTGTAAGCATTGTTTTTATTTTTCAACATATTTTAGATATATTTTTACTTTTTCACAATGCCACTAAAAAAGAAACAGCTGGGGTTGTTTTTATTTTGGGCTCACTAGTTTTTTTCAGTATGCGGATTTTGGCACGTCGACACACCGGCGACAGAGGCAGCGACGTCGGCAGAGACGTCGCGCTGCGTCTTTACATAAAATGACATAAAATTTAATTGCGTGGTGCATTGGTGTGTGTGCGTTTGAGTTTTCCAGTTGCCTGCACCACCAGAAAACAAAAGCAAAAAAAAAACTAGAAAAAAAACAGAGCCTACGTGCCACTTGCAACGCATCCTTTTCGTCAATGTTGTCGTAGTCCCATGACTTTTCATTTTCCTAATTTAGAAACAATTTAAATTGTTAAGCGGAAAACTGTCAAAACTCTAGAACCCTCTTAAAGGTCTGATACACGTCAAAAAAAAGTATTAAGATTCAAGTAACGTAAAAACAATCTTAAGTTTGGAATACTTTTTTTATCAAATAAAAAACATAAAAGGATAACGAAATTACTCATAAATTTTTTCTCATGTTTGAAAAATGTATTGTTGCAATATTAGGTTATTTTTTGAGTGTAATAAATTAAATTACAGCTGACGGTCGCCTTATCAGCGACCTGCTTATAATGGCTGATAAAAGACCAAAAACAAAAGCAACACCGAAATATAAAAATAACAACACATGACTTTCTGACCATCGTGGGTTACGAAACCCTAAAGCAAGAGATAAAAGCCAGCCCAACTTTAGTGTAAAGATTAGGCCAGAAAGCAAATACGAAATGAAAATGAAAAGGGCAAACATAAAACAGATTTGGAAATTAGGAATTGCTTTTCGAAAATATTCGGTAAATAAAGGGCCACGAAAATCGGCGAGTAAACAAGGCCATTGATTTCTGGCTACAGTTTTAGAGGCACTTAAAGTAAAAGGTTCGAGGCTCAAGCTCGCTCTACTGAATCCATTAAATAAATAAAAATGGTAAACAATAAATATTATTTTTTTGAAAATAGGCTTACGTTTATTTACAGAATTTGTTAAAGCTTTCAATTTTTTAATACCAATTATCACCACTTTATCAAAAGTATTTATTAATAAACCATCAATTTTGCATTAGTTCTTTAAGTAAAGAGGAAAGTTAGCTGTATTTCTTTGGATAATAAACTGGAACTTATGCGACATAAAATTAATTAAAACCTTATCATTCCTTCTCAATTAAAATAAATACAATAACTACCAAACAATTTGTAAAAGAAAGATAGTTTATCTTTAAGATACTCTTTGTAAGCAATTTCCATTTGCCTTTTAAATAAACTAAAGTAAGGTCAATAATTCGGCAATAAACCTGAACGATTTATTCTGCCAGCGATCGCCTTCGATGTAATGATAAATTAATTAAATTAATCTTTTATTTATGGCCAATAAACACACATTTAGGGCTTGTGTAATTGACCTTCGACCACAAAGAGCATTCTGAAAAAAAGAAAAATAACAACAACGTGGCCCAGAAAAACAAAAAAAAAAAAACCAAAACAAAAACATGTGAAAAATCTAAACAAACACAAAAGGCATGTGAGTTTTTGGTGTAATCCACACCGGCATATAACCCTGATGTCGGACGTTTGAAAGCTCCTTAGGTGCCAAGTGGAGATCCACCACACAGAAAGAAATTTGAACTAAAAAATATCAGTATACTAGTACTTTTCTTCTGAAATCAGATTTAATATTATAAATAACATCTTAATGAAGCAGAATACATTTTCTTTTATATAGTATAGTTTTTGTATGAATATTGTATGATTTCTTTTGCTAAATAAATCCTGAAATACTTACCTTAATTTTTGCATTTCAAATATCATTGATTTTATTGTAAGGTATGGATATTTTTCTGTGCACAAACAGCAGTAAAAACTTCCATTAAGCATAATTGTAAATTGCTTTTTGTTTTGCTGTCGCCTCCTATTTTTAGGCGGCAAACAAAAATTTTTTTTTGGCTTTATCTGGCTCCCAAGAAGAAGAGAGAAAAAGGGGTAATTTTGTAACGCCGACGTTGCTACCGGCACGTTAACACAAAATATTTTGCGTAAACAAAATTGTAAAAAAAAAATATAGTAAACAACAACAAGCCATCAACATCAACAAACTTATCGCAAACTTACCAAAAATTATAGACATTGATAGAGGGCGGATATCATTTCAACAGCCATTCATTCTTGTATTCCCATTTTGATTTATGCAACTATCAATTGATAGCACCAAATGAGGTTAGTTTATTGTTATTTAATTTTTGATTTAATTAATTTAATAGTGTCTGTTTTAATTTATAGTGTTGTTACGAAGTTGTCCTTTGACATTGTACACAATCGACATATTTTCACTAAGTAGTCGATCAATCTGAAGATCCTAAAGATGCAAAGATCCTTAAGTTTAAATCAAGTGTTTTGGAAAACTAAAGAGTTTTAAAATGTTTAATTCTCGAAAATGTTAATGTTAAGCAAATATTACAGTGATGAGTTACAATATTAATTTCATATTTCTTTGTGCATTTTATGACTTTTCTACGTGCTTTCCACTTAAAAGAATGAAACTAAATGTAAATAGGTACTTACTTATTTTAGAAGGTGTCTTTCGCCTTTTGTCGTGCAAATTACAAAGAGATAAGCCAGAGAAGTCTGGATATAAAAGCATTTGCAATAGTTGGGGCTGCAGAACTAGAAAAATTGCAAAATGTTAGGTCGCAACGTTTTATTACTAGTTATATCCTTGAGTGCTTGTTTGGCACAGGATTACTGTGACAGGAGCCTCTGTAATTACGGCGTCAAACATATTGCTTGTGTGAGTGAAATAAAATCAATTTCTTTTTGGATGAAACAAAATTGAAATATATACTAAGCAGCCCCTGGACAACCGCTTTGGTAGCGCCTGTCCGCAGGATGTCACCGTGATCGCATTTGATCAGAATGATATAAATAATGTGGTGAAGGCCCACAATTTGGTCAGGCAAAAGTGGGCCAATGGCAGCAAGTCGAACCTCCGAGGATCCGCCTGCAAGATGGGCACAATGGTGTGGGACGAGGAGTTGGCAAAACTGGCGGAACTGAATGCCAAGAGCTGTGTCATGCAGCATGACAAGTGCCACAACACCCAAAAGTATCGACTTTCCGGTCAGAATCTGTATGCATCTCAGTTCGGGCAAACTGGAGGCTGGGGCACACCAATCAAGAGCTTTCTCGTAACAGCAGTTCAGATGTGGGCCAAAGAGGAAAAGGACGTCACAGCCGAGGATTTGGAGAGCTACCCCAATTTCCAACCAAAGTAACTGCTCAAATTTCACTGAATGGTATATAGCTTCACTTTATTCTGTTTCTAGACAAATCGGTCACCTTACCGTCATGATCAACGAGAAGAGCATTGCTGTGGGCTGTGCCGCAGTGACCTACAAGCTGAACGACTTCTTTCACGGGTTTAATATGGCTTGCAACTACGCCTACACCAACATGGTTGATCATAGTGTGTACAGTGTCTGCGCCAAAGGTGGAAGCGAGTGTCCAAACGGAGTGAGCTCCCAATACGCACCTCTGTGTGCCTAAACAAGAAAACATAGTTGGAGCAAATTGTGCCACCAAATAAAGCATAAATACGAGCATAACGATCGAGTGAATTGAAAATATTACAATTATTATTAGTGTTATGACAAAGAAAGCCATTTCTACAATGTAGCGAAACATCACATGAATTTGTAGCTTAGGCCACGACAAGTGGAACTTAAGACTAGTTTTAAGGGGGCCTGGACACGCATCTATTTGGAAACCAGAGTCTTGAAAACAGTTGGGCACTTGTGGGCCGGCAAGTGGCGATAGCAGTACGTCTTGATCGCATCCAAGTCGATATCCGCATCCGGCGATACAATGCAGATGACACCGAGTCGATGGCCCCACAACTTGTTGGGAATGCCCAGCACAGCCACATCGTTGATGTTCGGGTGTGAGATGAGAACCTTCTTGATTTCCGAACCGTAAACCTTGTAGCCGCCGACGGTGAAGACATCACTCGCTTTGCTCAGAAAGTAAAAGTGTCCGTTCTGGTAGGCGCAAATGTCGCCGGTTCTGAAGAAGCCATCTTGGGCAATCTCCTGCTGGCTGGTTGCTCCCGGTTCCATTTGCTGGTTATCGCTGGCCAACGAATTGGACACCAGATGCTGCCCGGCTATCTGAAGCTCACCAATCACCGTGTGGGCCAACGAAGTCTCGCCGCCGATGTCTTCCTCTTGGATGAGACCGTGATCCACAGTGCCGCCGAGTTCGTTCTTGCAGGTTATCAGTTCGTTGCCCTTATTGCCGATCAAACGGGCTGTCACTCCTTTCAGGGGAGCCCCCAAAGTCCCCGGACGATAGTCGTTGGGCGGGGTATTGCTTTGAACAGTTGATCCCGCAGGGGCACTGGCATTATTAGCTGCATCGCGAGGGGGTTCTTCCAGGGGATGACCGAGAACGAGGCCCGTTTCCATCATCCCGTAGTACTCGTAAATGTTCTGGCCCGTAATCTCACGCCAGCGGTAGAACACCGAGTCCGGCAGCAGGGCAAAGGCGGTGGCCATCAGCTTGATCTTCTGCCGGCAATGGTTCACAATGTACTCGACCATCCGCGAGTCCTTGGCGAACATCTTCTCGTACTCGGCAATCAGTCGCTTGTAGACAATGGGCATGGCCAAAAAGAGCGTGACGCGCTGCTTCGACGGACTGTTAATGCCCAACAGGGCACTCCAGGCATTGTGGCCATCGAACTTCTGCTGCAGCACAACATTGCCGCCCACATTGAGCACTGCGCCCAAGGCGGCATGCATTCGGTTCATGGAGAGAATGGGGAGCATACAGTCCGTGGGTCCCAGACGCCAGCTTCCGATCAGACATCGCATCTGGGCATCGATATTGCGGTGGGTGAGCAACACCGCCTTGGGACTATTCACCGCATTGGGCGTATAGATCAGCATGGCAGGCGCCTTGGCATAGAAGTCACTTGGCAGCGTGCTCTCCGTGAGGATGACTCCCTGGGTTCCCAGCAGTTGTTTCGCGTACATCGTGGTCGAAGAGACACTCTCCGCCGTTGGCACGAATGCGTGATCCAATATAATGGTGGCCGACTGCAGACCCTGCGACAATTCCTGGGCCAGGGACTCGAACTCCGGCGTGGCTATCAACAGCTTGGTCTTGCAACTGGTCGCCTGGTCACGTAGTTGTTCCATTGCCTGGCCAGATTCCAGGGGCACCGCCACCTGACCCGAGATCCAGCAGCTCCACTGTATGGCGATCCACAGGGCGTTGTTCGAGCACAAGTACGTAACGTTCGACAGCGAGGCACTGCCTGTGGTGCAGAGAAAAGAATTTGCCAGGGTTATTCATAAATGATGTTCATCAAGAAAATCAACGAATTATTAGAACTTTTGGTATACAGATAGATAAAAACCTTATAAAGTATCATACCAGATAAGAGAATGATAACTGGTATAGAACTTATAATACATATATAATTAAATACATACATAAATGATAGTCAACAAGAAAATCAACGAATTATTAGAACTTTTGGTATACAGATAGATAAAAACCTTATAAAGTATCATACCAGATAAGAGAAGGATAACTGGAATACAACTTATAATATCCCATACTTACCACAAATATTGGAGATCTGAATGGCCAGGCGCTTGGCGGCCAGGTACAACTGGAAATAGGTGTACTCCCCGGTAATGTCTTTCACCGCAATCTCGTCCGGATAGAGCATGGCCTTCTTGAACGTGGGCACCACCAGATTACTGCGCTCATCCTCATCGAAGCTGTGGCGCAGTTTCTCGATAAAGCCATCCTGCAAACAGATATTTCAACTAGGACACTCAAAATGAGAAGTATTCGGAACGGAACTATCACCTTGTGGATCAACTCGGCGGAGCAAAGGCGAACCCATGGACGCAGTGTCAGTTTGTTGCAACGTCTTAGTAGCATCATCTTCCGTTTTTTTTTTTTTTTGGTTTTTTTGTTTATTAAATGGTGTATGGGCAAAAAAACACTTGATTAGAGTAGTTGGTACAGAGAGCAGAATTTAGCTCCGATTTACAAATGCTATCGCTTGAAGAGCCAAAACGATTCTGAGGCTTTTGTCATGGCTTACTTGAATTTGTCATGGCTTACTCGGTGTATAATAATCAAACTCACTGCATTCGATTGGTTGATTTTGTTGGTCTTTATTTACACAATAATAGTTTGCAGACACAAAAAATAATAATTACAAAAGTCGTAATCGTAAACATAAGGGAAGTAAAAAAAATGATTTCAAGTAAAATGAATGTCACAATTTTTCTCTTGATTTTTTTTTGTGTTCGCTTCGTTTTTTTTTTTTTTTTTTTTTTTTTTTATTATTTACTTTTTTTGTGACCTTGGCATAGTACTTAAAAGTGTCGTTTACAACGATCCTGGCTTGAGAACTCGAATGTGCATGGGGGGATGGTGGGGGTTTGTTTTGAAGGGCTATGAGGAGTGAAGGTGCGATAGAAAACAACACTTAAGAGACCTATATTTACAGTCTAAAATTGAACAAAAACGGGAGGCAGGCAACTAATTTGGGAGATTATGGCATTACACCGATTGTTCCTATGGCAGCTATATGATTTATCATACAAAAATGTATAGGAATAACAATTCGAGCGATTTCTATAACCGATTATGGCAGCAAAACCTTGAGAGACGGACGGATAAACGGAAACAATTACGATTGCAGTGTATCTAAAATCTATTTTTTTTTTAAATATACAAAACACATATATTTAGCACAAATCGCATACACATTTTGTAAGTTTTCGTTGCGTCCAGGATTCGAATTAAGATCATTTTCAGATTGATAATTGAGGGCAGGGGGAATTCTTCGAGTGCGATCAAGTGGCGGGCAGTGCTTGCTAAAATTTAACAGTTTCACAATTAACAATACAATCACAGATTACGAATTTAACATAATTAACGAAAAACAAGTACAAAATATTACGATTCGAATGGTTTTGGTGCTTGGCGGGGCGAAGCGAAGAGAAGATTCTGGGATTTGGAGATTCGGCGCACTCTCTTTCCTCCGCCACCACCTAAATTTTTGTTTGTTTCTTTTTTGTGTAGAACTGTAAGGCACTTGGCAGTCTCTTCTTTTTTTTTAACTTAGTCTCGAAATGCAATCAATGGAAGTGTACTGGCTTACTGTTTTCACTATTTAAATAATTTCACAAGAAAACTATTCTTTTGAGACTTTTAAAACTGGCTGTGTAAACTGAACTTAAAGTACACGTACTTCTATTCTCTAAACTCGTTAATTGTCCGAGTTACCAGTTTACTAAACTATATCTTGTAGATCTCTTCAAAAAAAAAAAAGTATATATCTTAAAAACGACAAGTGGCATGCTGCATTAAATTGGAAACAGTAGAGTTTTTTGGGACAAACAATGCCTTGCTCATCTCCTCCTGATCCACCCCCCAACCCCAGTGCACCCGGTTCGATCGCAGTAACCCCGGATTTCCTCTCCCCCACGGATCCTTCCTTCCATCCATCCTTTCACACTCGCTTCGGTTTGCTGACGATCGTGTAGTTGAGGCCATTGTAGCTGCGATGATCGATGGCGGCCGCCTCGAGGCTGCTTTTGTTTGCAGAAGCACTACTGCTGCCACCGCTGATGTTGCTGTTGGAGATTCCTAGACTGTTATTGTTGTTGTTGATGTTGATGCTGTTCGCTGTGCCGCTGGTTTTCCGCAGCACCCCGTAGCCCTGGTGACTGTCGTCGGCCTTGCGGAAGCTTTCCGTGTCGGGACTAGCGATCAGTTCGTATTCGTTGGGCGGCGGCGGACTACAACGGCGATTGCCGGGCAGGGTTACGTTCACGATGGTTTTATAGCCGCTCGCCGTCTTGTTGTTTGGCGACAGGAAGTCCAAACGATCGTAGGTGGACTCGGCAATGGACGCCACCGTCCCCCCCTCCCCAATGTCGATGTCTATGATCTTGGGTGTGCTTTGGCCACAAGTCGACGTCTTGCCAACGGACCGCTGGCGCACAAACTCCGAGGTGTCGCAGAGAATGGGCATCCGTTCGCAGTGTCTGACATCGCCGACGCCCCTCGTGCGCCACGCCTCCGTGATGTTCTCGATGCACTCGTAGTCGCGCTCCGGCGGCGGCGCCTTCGAGGCGCTCTCGTTGCGCAGCGGCAAGTCGGGCGGCAGGTCGGGCTTATTGTCCAGCGGCAGGTTGATCATCGACGACTCGCCCTCCAGCGGCTTCAGTATCACCGAACTGTTCACATCGGAGGTGGCCGATGGCGAGGATATCGTCGTTATGGCCACAGGCTCATATTTCACAATGTTCCTGTATTTATCACAATGGTTGGTTGTTGTTGGGCTGACTCCGCCCAGTTTGCGTGGCGGTTTGTTGGGTATGTGCTTGCTGCTGTTGCTGTTGCTATTTGCGGGCACGGTCAGTGTGATTCCGCTGGGATTTCCTGTTGCCGCCACCGCAGCTGCTACGGCTGCTGCTGCTGCTGCCGCGGCTGCTCCACTTGAACCACCACCACCAGCACCACCACCGCCAGCACACGACGAAAAGTTGTTGAGGGAATCGTTGGAGCTAATGAAGCCCCGCAGGGAAATGCAACTCTGCAGCGAGTTGATCTCGAACTCCCCGCCGTGGGGATTGCTCGACGGGGAAGGCGGCAGGGGACTCCGCGAGCCCGGCTCCATGCCGGCAGCCGCGCTAAATTGATTCTCGCCGCACTCCAAGGTGCTCAGACTATCGCCGCTAATGATTTTCTTCTTCATCGACTTCATTTTGCCGGACATGCAGCGGAAGACCTCCTGCGGATTGCTGTGGTCCAGGGTGAACACGCCCTCGCCCGTCGTGCACTTTCTGCCCGCCTCGAAGGTGAACTTCCCGTCGCGATAGCCGTACTTCCTGATGAAGCGATACGGCCACATGGCGATTATGGCAGCCGAGTCCTCCGACTTTAGCTGCAGCTCCGAGGGCGTCATCTGGAGCTTGTAGGTCTTGGGTTCGATGCAGCAGCGAATGGAGGCCTCGGAGGGGATCAGTGTGATTGTGAACATGCCATCCTGCTGGTAAACAAAAGGAATCTTTAATATTTTCAACCTAACTAGTTTTATTCTTTTCCCCAAATTATATTTAATTAACTTAAAATGAATTAATCATTCAAAGTTTTTAGTACACATAGGTTTATTTCTTTCTCGCACCAAATATTAAATTTTGTCAGAAGTTTTCGTTGCTTTTTAAATCGAACGAAAACAAACATTATTCAGGATCACAATCTATACAGTGACTTAGACACATCAACAAGATTTGATATTCAGCCGTGTAAAATGATCCAAAATCCAACGTGTGAAAACAGAAGTTATACAAGAATAATGTCGGAATTATCAGAAGAAAATAATGATAAGGAAGCCCCCGATGGGATGTTGCCAAATTTGTTAGAAACAGATGGTAATAAAGCTGATACAACCGCAAAAGAAGACCAGGAATCTCCTAGATTGTCAAACAAAGTCGTCGAGTGCTTCGAAAGCATGGATCCTAGCATTCAAAGAACGGCAGTTACAGATCGCCTGAGGAGGACGTTTTTGCTTGGAAAACCGCTTAAACTGCAAGTGGGAAACTTTGATGAAGTACTCGACCGGTTAGTCCAAAGCGAACCCCAAAGAAGCGCTCGCCAATTCGCGAAAATATCCATCAATCGACTGCTCGACAGCTTGGATCCGGAGAAGACCCGGGATCTGGAGTTGGATCAACTCTGGCGAGAGTCGCAGTGTCCTCCTCGCTATGAAGCCGCCGAGGCTCTACTCCGATCGTTTCGAACGAACGCGATACCCACTTTGACCATTCGGGTCGAGCAGCACCAGTTCCTGTGCCACGCCATGCTACTCCAAGTGATCTCCACCTATTTCCAACGACCGAAGCCGGCTTACCCGGCTCCATATGTCTTCCAGCTGCCCAGTCCAGTGCCAGTCACAACGCGGGCATTCGTGGCCCTGTATCGCTGGACAATGGAGCCGTCATTCGTGATGAGTGGCACCCTGCTGGTGCAGGTTTACCGGGCAGCAGAGTTCTTCGATTGCCGGGAACTGATCAACAACTGTTGGCAGGGACTCGATGCGGGTTCCCGCCAGCCGGATCGAACGTTGCGCCTGTATGCCTACAGCCGAGCGTTGGGATTGCATCTGGAGGAGGGTTTGTTAACTCGCTTGGGCAGTATCTTTCTGCAATTTGCCGCCAGCAAGCAGTTTTTGCTCATGGATGCGAGCCCCATGCGAAGATTACTGGGATTATCTACCCTGGCTGTGAATTCGGAATCGGAGGTAGGTTAGGAATGGTATATCATCATTTGTTACCGGGTTTATAAGGTCACATTAAGGTCTATCTGGCTGCCGTTCTTTGGCTGGATTACAAATGGCCCCGCCGCAAAATGCATGTCTTGGGCATAATGGATAGCATACGCTTCGAGATGCTGCCCTATGCGTTTCTAATGTCCGTGGCAACGCGACGGGATGGTCCGCCAGTTGTTCGCATGATAGCTAACGCCACCGCTGTTCGAAGGCGGGTATTCCAAACCTTGGCATTAATGTAAGTGCAAATCCAGTTGAATAACTATAATCGACAGGGGTATCTATTCCCAACCATAGTGGCAAATCGCCGAGGAAGTTCCAAGGAGGCTGCGGAGCCGGTCATCGCAACTGGATCTTTGATTCCCGGGCGTCCCATCATCACGGTATCAGTTGCCGGCGGGTCCACTACATTGACTTTAAGACCTTTGTGAATTATCTGAGGTTTCTGCACACCGCCGGACCCAAGCACTGGCAATCAGTTCGAATTATCGACGATCCCGACGTCAAATGCTGTCCGCGGGAGAATTGCAAATAATCAGCTAGAAACAAATTCTAGTGACTCATTAAACTGTCTAACTTAATTTAGAAATATTATTTTGGGACCGGAAAGGCGATCTTTCTTATCAGTGAATTTATATAATAATAATAAACGAACTCTAGAAATCCCCAGTAATTTGGTAATTACATATGTACCAAAACCGACACACCCAGGATGTATACAACATGGAACACTCACAAAGGAGCTGCAGTAGAGGTCGTTGTCCTCCTCGATGGCCTCAATCACGGTGTCGCAAAAGGCGACTGTCTGGAGGGCGGTGATCCAATCCTTGAGCTCATCATCGCTGCTCGTGCTCAGTGTGAGCGTCTCATGCCGTTTGACAATGTGGATAAGGCGGTCGGGCGGAGGCTCCTGTGTGATTTTCACACAGTTCTCGAGCGTGAAGATCTTGGGGAAGCGGTCCTCCTTGCTCTCGCACATCTCCAGTCGGGCGATTCCATGGCGACTCGCCTTGAATAGCAAGCAGTGGCGACTGCATGCTTTCTGCAAAGAATTGCAATATTATTATATTGGTTGAGCTGTTCGAAATCATGCAATGAAGACTATACACGATATAGACAATAAGGACTTAGGGAACAGGAAATAGAATAGAATATAAGTCTAGCAATATTCCATTGGAGTTATGGTTATCCCTTGATGACATGTAATATTTGTAGAGCAAGTAGAGCAGAGATTCTGGCTTACATAATGGCCTAAGCCATGAAGTAATCCTCCGCTCCCCACTCCCCCTCCTTTGAGCCCCCCTTTTCCCCCCGCTTTTTCTCAGTTTTTTGCTGGCTCAAGAATTTCCTGTCGTACATAAACACAAATACCATGAAATCGCATGAATCGCCCAGCTGTGTGTGCCATCTGAAACTCCAACATTTGCGGTCAAGGCATTAGCCACTCTACAATTATAACATACATATAAAAAAAATAGTGCTTATTACCCAAAACATTCACTATTGATTTTAAAAAGCATTTCATATCATCTGTTTAAATCGTAATGTCATTATAGCACTCACAATATTATTTTCTTGAAAAAAACTATGCTTTTACCGAAATTTATTTAATTAATCTGTAACAATAATTATTAGATTATAAAATAATGAAGGAGTTTGAAGTACAAGACATCGGAATTCCAAAAAAGCCGTGAGTGCTATTATTTTGACCATTTCTATATATTGTCGGCCCCCTCTCACTCGCACATTCTCCTTCTCACTCCCACTCGCACAGTGGAACTCATTTGTATGCAACAAGTATGCAGACACAGCGAAACACACAGGCACATGTAAGTCCTGTTTGGTTTATTGAAACACTACGCACTTGTAGGGAATTTCAAAAATAGCAGCTATTGGGAGAAGTGTTGAAATCTTGATAAATGGGTAAAATCTGGGAATCCAAATGTACTGAATGGGGAGTTCTACGATTTTCCATACCTTTTTCGAGATGCGATTTAGCGAAAATCCAGTTTGGGTCGGCACATTAAGAAATCCAGCCAAAACAGGTATTTCAACATCCATTCTGTGCACCACTCCTCCTCCTCTCCTCTCCTTCTTCCCACTCTCCTTCGTCTCCTTATCTCTGTCGCCCTCCCTCTCGCACTCCTTCGTCGATCTTGCTCACACAATGCGCCTCCGATTCCGATTCCGAATTGTTGTTGGAGTTGGCTATGCGATTTCTGAAGTTTTCCCGTATTTCATTCGATTTTCAGGGATTTTCGATCGTTTCACGTTTGGGGTGTTATCACTTCATATTTTACATCACATCGCACGGCAATACGAAGTTTCGAAAAGCGCAGTCGCAGCACAAAAAAATATCACCAATAAATGCGAGCAGAGTCAAGTCGACTTTATTTATTTATGCGCTGAACGGTTGCATGATCAAGCTGCAATCGACATCGATAACATTCGGCGATTGATAGGCTTAAGCACTCCAAAAATTTAAAAAATTGGAACGTTTTTTTCAACAAATTAGCTTTAATTTTAGTTTTTAATTCATCGTTTACTTTTCTTCTTTTAAATTTATATATTTCTCATAATTGCGTTGCTTAAACTCATCACTGCTTTTGAGATACTATTTATCGAGCTTGAAAATCAAAAATGGATCGCTAAAATTTATTTTAAATCTACGAAATAAATTTCACGAGTTGCCATTCACACCGCACAAATTATAAAACAATCGTTCATTTTGGAACATTTTATTATGCAAACATTTGTCATTTATGAAAAAATCTAAAATTAAAAGTAGCTACATTGTTTACAAAAATCAGGCAGTCTGGCAATGTTTTTTGGGCCCGACTGCGATGTACGCTCTATCGATAGCGCAGCACTGCCACCTCGTTCGTGCAAGTGCCATCGCTATTATCAAGTCGTATTGTGCAAAAAGGAAATAGAATTTAGTCAAAACAATAGCAAAAAAAGGAGCATGGCCCACGACCGCGAGGTGTTGCGAATGATCTGGGAGGGCCAGATAGGCATATGCTTCCAGGCGGATCGCGATGAGATCGTGGGCATTAAGCCGGAGCCCTTCTATTTGATGATATCTCGACTAAGCTATTTGCCTCTGGTCACTGACAAGGTAAACAATGGCCTAACATGGTGATGTATTGTGACAATCGTGATAATATCCGTTGGTGTTGACAGGTGCGCAAGTACTTCTCCCGCTACATAGCCGCCGAATATCAGGACGGAGCCGTGTGGTTCGACTTTAATGGAACGCCCCTTCGCCTTCACTATCCAATTGGTGGGATATACGGATGATATCATCAGATTCCTATTGTTTACAAACTGTTTATACCCTTGGTCAGGTGTCCTCTACGATCTGCTGCATCCGGAGGAGGACAGCACGCCCTGGTGCATCACTATCCACTTCTCCAAGTTCCCCGAGGACACGCTCGTCAAGCTGAACTCCAAGTAAATATCAAACCAAAAGGGGAAAGTTAGCTTCTTCGGCAAGCCGAAGCCTGAAAATAACTAATGATGCAGTTTGCTAGGGAATTAAAGTACGAATTCATAGAGGTATGACACTTGTAAATCGCAGGAAAATTAGAAAAGTTATGTGCTTAGAAGTACTGGAATCTGGTTACTTTTCTGAAAACCCAATTTTGCAAATTTTGAAAGGGGGGACATCATAAAAAATTACAATACTTCGATAAAAAAAATCGAAAATAAACTAGTTATGCGGCTAGATAGATATTTAAATAACAAATTCAAAGAGGTACGCCGCTTGTAAATCGAATAAAAATTAGAAAAGTAAAGGGATTAGAAGTGCTGGTCACTTTTCTGCAAATCCATGTTTTGCAAATTTTGAAAGGGGGACATCATAAAAAATGACATCATAACATTGACCAAAAAATCGAAAACAAACTAATGATGCAGTTTGTTAGGGACTCTAACAAGAAACCCTTCAGGATAAAAATAGAAATTGTTTAAATTCGAAAAGTTGCGGGGTTAGAAGTACAGGTCTAACTGAATTAAAAAAACCATATTAACCATTAATGCATTGTAGGGAGCTGCTGGAATCGCACTACATGTCCTGCCTGAAGGAGGCTGACGTGCTGAAGCACCGCGGTCTGGTGATATCCGCGATGCAGAAGAAGGACCACAATCAACTGTGGCTGGGATTGGTCAACGACAAGTTCGATCAGTTCTGGGCGGTCAACCGGAGGCTGATGGAACCGTACGGCGAGCAGGAGTCCTTCAAAAACATTCCCCTGCGAATCTACACGGATGATGTGAGTGGAAAACCCACGACCAGATCAGATCAGATCAGTTCAGCTCAAATTGATGGATTCTCTCCCTGTTTTTTTTTTTTTTTGTTTATCCCCATTGTTGACAGGACTTCACGTACACGCAAAAACTGATTTCGCCGATCAGCGAGGGCGGACAAAAGAAGAGTCTAGCCGACCTGATGGCCGAATTATCGACACCTGTGCGCAAAGCGGGTGAGTTTGGCTCCGGTGATTTTCGATTTCGGGCTCTTTAGCCTTTAGCCGGCTATCAATTACCACAGGCACTCTAAAAAAAATGTAGAAGAAAAAACCTTAAAATAAGTGTAAGGGAAAAGGAAAACGAGAAGAACCCATTGTCTGGGCAGACGCAGCGTCTCTTGGAAATTAGGGAAAAGGTGCCAGTCAGTCTGGCATGGCCAAGTGCATGTCTATCTTCCTGTAAATGTATCTGTATCTGCATCTGTGTATCTGTACCTCTCCCTGCTGACCCGTCTGACTTATTTATTTTTCTATTGAATAACACAAACGAGCCGAGGCGAGCCAAGCCGAAAAATCCGCCCTAAGCGGCACTCTCCGGCAATCATTCTTCAATTCATCAATGTCCCATCTGAACAAAAACCTGAACAAAAAAAAAAAGAACTGGAAATGGAAGATGGAAAAGGAGATGATTCTCCGATGCTGTCGGGCTGAATGCAATGCCCCCGGGGTGGAAAAGCGACCCGGAGCGGATCGGATCGGATCGGTGCGGTGCGGATCGCAGGTCTTTTTGGCCATCTCGCTTGCCCCCTTTGGAAATATGGCTAAAAATCCGAAAATGTGCCCTCTGTTTCCCTCTTGCTCGCCACACATTTTTCTTGGCCATTCAAACACCGAGTGCAGTGCGTTGAACAAAAACGAATGAATAATTCTTTGTCTGCCGGCTGGAAATTTGTCGACAATGAAATGTGCGTGTGGATTTTCGGGGCAGCAGCAGCAACAACAACAACAACAACTGCTGTTTGCTGCAACAATAAAGCAAAGCAAAGCGGCAACTAAAACAACAGCCAGAGGTGCAGTAAATGCAACAAAAACAGCGCTAGTTGATGAAGAAACAACATCCGAAAAACCATAAGAGATTTAACAAAACCAACATTTACTAAATTACTTAAAGGATCGAATAAAGCAGAAATATTTCTAACAATAAGAAAAATATTATAACTATGTCACAAGATATAAATATGGGACATTAAATTATCAGGATTAAAAGAACCATAAATACAAACTTGAAGCATCAACTTAACAAACTCCTAAAGATTCCATAGAAGGTGCAATCTGAGCTGTAGACCTGCAACATCAATGAAAATGCCAGCTAAAGTTGCATAAATATGAATATCAGACACAGAACATGCAACAGCAGGCACTCGAAGGTGCAACAATATCAGTCGAAAACCTGCAACATCAAAGGGAACTCCCTGCAACGGCAATCATACAAATGCCAGAGTCATGGAACCTGCAACAAAATACACCAGCTAAATGCAACTAGCAACCTGCAACCAGCAACCTGCAACAACGGCGGCAGCAGCAACTGTTAGATGGTGCCACACATTGCTTGCGCTGTTGACCTGCGGCGCCGGTGACAAGAACAGCACGAACCAGAGCGAGATGGCACCTGAGCGAAAGAGAAGGAGATAAAGCGGCGCGAGCGAGACAGAGCAACGTGTGTTGCTGGCCGGCAGCAACTTGCAACGCACACACACTGCCAACTTCCCACTCCAGTGGCTTAGGTGCAATAATAGCATTGGGAATTCCAGCGACGGACAAAAGGCGGAACTAAATACCTGCGGCTGGGATTTACGAATTATATTGTTAGGGGTTTTTCGGGAACCACTTGGACTGGATGGACAGCCAGTGCCGCAGAAGAGGATCTCTGAGCTCTCCTCTTTCCATTCAGAGAGAGATCCCTCCTGTGTTCTGTGCTCTAAGTGCTGTGCTCTGTGTGTCCTGTCCATATGTTTCGGGCAGGTTGGGTATTTCCCAGGTGTTCAGATCTCTGTGTCCTTTGGCATTCCTTGGCATTCGGTGCACCCTGGTGCGCTGGCCAAGGTGTGAAATCTTTATTTGCATGCTTACACGGCCTTCTCGGCCATGTACTATGTACTATGCAGGCTCTCCTAGGGAATTTCCCATTCGAAAGGTGAGAAATTTCCGACGATCCCAAACAATTGCCGATGGACGTCGATCAAAACGTAAAACGTACTTTCCGAAACGAAAGGTCATTCGTCGTCGTTGTCCTTCACATTCACATTTAGATTTGGATTCGGATTCGGGTTCGGATTCAGCTAGTATTGTATTATTGTTCGGATAGTTTTGGCCGCACGCCTGGCTTAAGTGGGCCAAAAGCAATTCAATCCGCTGACATTTTCCGGGTTCTACTGGGTATGCAACTCTTAAGATCCCTTGGGATCAGGATAGAATGTTGCGTGTTTTAGCGGGATTTTGGGAGGGCTAACAAACACGTTGAGTGTTATTAGATATGCATTTTACTTAATTAATATTTGCTTGGGAAAACTAATTAAACCTAACACAAAGTTAAAAAAGATGGACTATATGCAATGTTGGCTGAAGATAACGGTATATAGTGTTCAGAGTTTCCTTTGGGGAAGATGCATTTCCAAAAAGACGTGGCGATCTTTCCCATTCTCCTCTTTCTACCGATCCAACTCCATCCGAGAATCTTTCGCATTTTTGGAGTACACAAATCCAAATTAAAATCAAACAGAAATGCATTCAAAACATGATCAATTTGTTTCGCCGGGTTTTTCATGAAACTCGGATGGTATTATATACATACGGACTGGATGGGGCAAGGAGAAGAAGAAGAAGAAGGACGGATAAGGCGGTGGAGAGGGAGCGATCGTTTGGATAACGATTGCACGTATTTGTGGTGCGTGCATTTTCATAGAAAATCGTATTTAAATTGAAATGAAATTCAAATATACAATGCAGCCGGGTCTCTGAGTTTTCAGTCGGAACGTGAAAGGTTCAAAGTAGATGCGATTCCGAGAAATCAAAAACAACAACAACAACTACAACAAAAAAATACATACAACAAAAATCGGGAAGAAACGAAAAAAGAAGCAAAGCGGCGGCAGAGGAAGAATCTAAGACGCGTCAAAAATAAAAGAAACGCATTTCTTTTGGCTTTGCCTTTGGCTCCTCCATCTCTCTCCATCTCGTTCGCTCCTTTCAGCCCGTCTCGCTCGCTCGCGTTCTGCTCCTGCTGCATTGGCATTCGCATCATTTGTTGTTGCTGCTTTCATGATTTGCCGCCGACTGCGATGCCTTTGCCTTTGCCGGAAAGCAGCAACAATAAATGCAAGTGGCTTTTAGTGTTGCAAGGCTTTTTAAAGTTTACGAAAAGCCCACTTTTATTGGATTCCAGATATTAGCTATATATTTATCTATATACTATATTATTATATTATATTATAATATTTAAAAATATATTTATGGAAATGTTATAAGCATAAAAAGCTAGATTTAGCCTGAAAAAAATCAAATATCTCTGCGCTATTGCAGCTACTTTCGGTGTGTTTGTGAGTGTGGCATGCTGGCTGTGTTTGTATTTGTGTAGGGTGCTCTCGAATGTGTGAAAAGGAAGTTCTGAGATATCACCTCCGCTTATTTGTATTTACACCTTCGCCGGCACCTTGTCCCCCTGCCCCCGATCTTTTTCTCCTACTTCCCCCGCCACTTCTTTATTTTCCCTGTTTTTTTTCGCTGCACTCCAACAAAACTCCGGTGAAAACGGCGGCGCACGGAAATCGCACCTCAATGTTTATCACTTTAGCCTCTCTCCTCTCCTCTCCTCTCCTCCACTCCTTGTCCATCCATCCCCCCTCCCCCCACACACCTTTTTTTTGCTCTCCCTCTTCCTCGCTCGTTCATCGGCGCATTTGCTTAGTCCCATTTCGACACATTTTCGTTTGCATTTCGTCAATCAGACAAACAATACAAACACAAACGCAAATACAAATACAAATACAAATGCCAACCTGCAAAATGCAACCTGGACAATGCCCATGTATGGGAATCGGTGTGTATCTGTGTGGGCAGGTGTTTGTGTTTGTGTGTGACAATTGGCAGTGCCACGCCCCGCTTTTTGGGTGGGCTGCTGCCCTGTAAGTGTAAGTGTGAGTACGAGTGTTTGTGTGTTTGACTTCGCAGCATCATCATTATTTTAATTTACCTTTTTTAACACCCGGCGATCATCAATCATACGGCATTTAAATGATCCCAAACGATTTCAAATCTTTCTAGAAAGATTGTTTTAAAGTTCTGCCTATCTTTATATACATATGTGGTTTATATAACCGAAATATATATTTCTTTACTAAATAAAGTTTCTGGACAGTATACAACATTTTTTAACAATGCTCCAAAATACACCTTAAATACACCTTTTCTTAAGATACATTTAACTTTGTTTAATTATCAATATTCATTATCGGCACAATATTGATACATTGTTGGCATTCCCAATTAGACAGCACTTAAAAAGCCTTCGCTTCTTCCATTTCCTGCCACACCCCCGCCCTTTGAGCACCCACTTAATTTCCCCACTTTTTTGTTTGTTTGTTGTTTTTTGTCTGCTTGATCGGCCATAATCGGGTGCAATCTTCAATTCACAATTCAACTGCACCGTCAACGAAATCCGATTTTATTTCTTTCGCTAAACATCCGCAACCCCTGTCCCTTCCCCCTTCCCCTCCCCCTTCCCTTCCGCCTTTGCTCGTAATTCCCCTACTTTGTTGCTGGATGAAAAGAAACCGAAATTAAAATTGAAATTATGGGGGCCCCGAAAAAAAAAGAAGGCAAGCGAAGGCAAAAACAATTGATTAGCACTTTTCGATTTCGCACTCTTTTTTAATGGCGTCACTGAACTGTAAAAATTGAGTTTTCCCAGTGCAAGCGTGTTTTTTTTTTTTTTTTTTTTTTTTTGGCGTCGGAACGTTTGGAATCGTGTGGAACAGAGAGGGGTTTTTTATACTCTTATTTAATGGCTTTATGGAGCACAATCTATTAAGTGATTATAACGATTGGGGCACCTTATCAGATCGATGGATCGCTGTTATTTTTAGCCATGAGCTATGCGATGTCGTTCGCTTTCCACCGCTCCCTCGTTTCTTTCCACGTTGACGATAATAAAAATGGGATCAATAAATTTTCAGACTGTTTGGCGCCACTCTCGCTCTCGCTCCCTCTCTTTCACACGGCTGTCTCCCCTCTCTTTCTGTGGGGGCCGCACACACATATCACCCCGAGATCAGAGGCATATAGTATATGTATAATGCTTGTCTGCGGGCTTGTCCCCCATTTAATAGTTTATATCGTTCGGCTCCGTTTCCTATGCAAGATTTATGATCTCTTTGGCGCTTTGGAGGTGTCTTTGGTTTTATGGTTTCCTCAAATCGCTGGATATATCGCCGATTGAGCGTCACCTTGGGAGATATTACGTTTAACTGTTTTACAATTTTATTTTTCGGAACCATAAAACTAGATCTGTGAGTCAAATATGCGATTTATATGGCATTATGTGGCTCTGGAAGTTTAGTAATATAATTCAGAAAACAGTTGAATCGCTTTCAAAAATGCTTAGGTATTTATAGTTTATATATTTATTTGTAAATAAATATTTTTTTTACAACACAGACAATAATTACTGTATTAATTGCTTTCGTGTTCATAGTTATGACAACAGCCACTCAAAATTTGTATTATAAAATGATTGTTGAATGTAATCACTCATTTAGCGAACTTTGGAACAATCCAATAGGTTTAGTTTCCATAATTTCACTTCAAGCGTTTGATATTTATTGCATTTCTTAAATTAGTTCTAACTAATACCTGACTTTTTAAAGTATAAGTTTACCCTTTTAAGGTTTGTAATTATTTGCGTTCGGAATACTGGCTTTGAAACTAAAATATAGGTTAGACATTAGGTGTACCACTCTATTTAGCATCGTATAAATTAAAACGATAATTATTGAAATTCGGCGACTGTAAAAGCACCTGAACAACCCAGCGGGAAAAACCTGTGGAAAATATGCTATTTTCCAGTGGTTTCTTCATACAAGCGGAATGTGGAAAATCCCCTTTACCCCTTACAAATCTGCCGTCTCTCCTTTCAAAATACACGGGGGTGACACACAAAAGTAAGGGGTAAAGGGAAAAATCCAGTGGACCCAAAGCTGCTCAATGCAGGACAAAATCCACTGGACCTACAGCTGCTAAATGCAGGACAAAATCCACTGGACCTACAGCTGCTAAATGCAGGACAAAATCCAGTGCACCTACAGCTGCTGAATGCAGGGCAAAATCCAATGGTTTTTTTACTGAAAAAACCAGTGAAAATCTGGCTGCTTAACGCAGGACAAAATCCACTGGTTTTTGACCTTCCCGCTTTACAGAATTTCCACAATAAAAAATAATACTTTTTAATTTGGTATATGCATTTATTAATCTATTTACAGTCCAAGGGCCTTTATCATAAATATTGTTGTATGTTTTATTTTTTGCCTTAGTGAACGGTGAACGCAGATCATCTTGATATTGAGGAAGTCTGTAATTGTCGTTTCTGAGTGACTCTGAAAATAAAAACCATAATACATTAATATATTACATATTAATACAAATATTAAATATATATAAAGTAATGGGAAAAAATAGAGAAATTTTGAAAAATAAGTAATAAACATAGTAAAAAGCATGGGAACACAGGACTGTTGAAACTTATTAAAAATGTAGTGAGTACTTACAAATGCTTCTGGATTGGCTTCGCCATCGGAGTCTAAATGGCCGAGTTCTTCAAATGACGAAATCGAATTGTCCGCTTGCGCCTGTTCAGATTTGCCGTTAATATTAACACAAGGGCCAGAATCTTTGAAGTCGAATCTATTACAAACTCTAAAAAAAACATTGTTTGTTCTTTTAAAATTGAAAAATAAATTTAAATGAAAAACTTACATACTTACTTGACAAACGCCTCCGGCGGCTAAAATGTAGTTTTTGGAAAAATGCCTATGTTCACCATATCCGTAACGCTGAAATAAGGATATACAAACAAAAATATTTATGTTATAACTTACCTTTATCTTGTTTTTTAAGATTAACACAACATTCTTTCACTTTTTACACTTTTTGCACGAAATTTTATACTGATGTGACCGGGCATCATATAACAAAATCCCGAAGAAAGACAATATTTAGTCACAACTTCGTTGTAACTTATGGTCATATTCAGAAACCCACCCCATTTAGCGGTCCGAAATTATTTACCCCTTCCCAACGCCTGCCAAAAGAAGTAGGTTTTCAACTATCCCTACCCCTACGCCTGCTAAAAGAAGGAGGTTTTCCACTCAAATAAAAAACCTACTTCTCACTTTCCCGCTGGGAATGCGCCCCCGTACCGCCGATCGATCGGATCGCCCAGCGGGAAAAACCTGTGGAAAATATGCTATTTTCCAGTGGTTTCTTCATACAAGCGGAATGTGGAAAATCCCCTTTACCCCTTACAAATCTGCCGTCTCTCCTTTCAAAATACACGGGGGTGACACACAAAAGTAAGGGGTAAAGGGAAAAATCCAGTGGACCCAAAGCTGCTCAATGCAGGACAAAATCCACTGGACCTACAGCTGCTAAATGCAGGACAAAATCCAGTGGACCTACAGCTGCTGAATGCAGGGCAAAATCCAGTGGATCTGTAACTGCTGAATGCAGGGCAAAATCCACTGGTTTTTGGCCTTCCCGCTTTACAGAATTTCCACAATAAAAAATAATACTTTTTATTTGGTATATGCATTTATTAATCTATTTACAGTCCAAGGGCCTTTATCATAAGTATTGTTGTATGTTATTATTTGCCTTAGTGAACGGTGAACGCAGATCATCTTGATATTGGGTAAGACTGTAATTGTCGTTTCTGAGTGACTCTGAAAATAAAAACCATAATACATTAATATATTACATATTAACACAAATAATAAATATATAAAAAGTAATGGGAAAATTAGAGAAATTTAGAAAAGTAAGTAATAAACATAGTAAAAAGCATGGGAACACAGGGCTGTTGAAACTTATTAAAAATGTAGTGAGTACTTACAAATGCTTCTGGATTGGCTTCGCCATCGGAGTCTAAATGGCCGAGTTCTTCAAATGACGAAATCGAATTGTCCGCTTGCGCCTGTTCAGATTTGCCGTTAATATTAACACAAGGGCCAGAATCTTTGAAGTCGAATCTATTACAAACTCTAAAAAAAACATTGTTTGTTCTTTTAAAATTGAAAAATAAATTTAAATGAAAAACTTACATACTTACTTGACAAACGCCTCCGGCGGCTAAAATGTAGTTTTTGGAAAAATGCCTATGTTCACCATATCCGTAACGCTGAAATAAGGATATACAAACAAAAATATTTATGTTATAACTTACCTTTATCTTGTTTTTTAAGATTAACACAACATTCTTTCACTTTTTACACTTTTTGCACGAAATTTTATACTGATGTGACCGGGCATCATATAACAAAATCCCGAAGAAAGACAATATTTAGTCACAACTTCGTTGTAACTTATGGTCATATTCAGAAACCCACCCCATTTAGCGGTCCGAAATTTTCTATCCCTTACCTACGCCTGCTAAAAGAAGTAGGTTTTCAACTATCCCTACCCCTACGCCTGCTAAAAGAAGGAGGTTTTCCACTCAAATAAAAAACCTACTTCTCACTTTCCCGCTGGGCGGCTTCCCATATTTCCACTCGAGGCAATTGGATTCCGGTCATTTATTATTTTTGGGGTAGCGCCATTAGCCATTAGCTTTAGCTTGGTCATTAAACTCGTGACTTGCCCAACCGAAACGCAAGCGGATCGAAGTGGAATGGAACGGTGTGTGGGTAGTATCGCGGGGTCTATAATATTACGGAGCTCCATGGGCTTTGCCGCCTATGCGCCCTACTTGAACTCGCGCCCCGTTGCACAAATCTTATCGCCACCACCACACACACCAAAACACACCACCCAACACCACACCACTCCACACTCGCCTGCCGCCTCCCGCCTCCCACCGTCCGTAATCAGGCATTATCAGCCCATACACCCTATATCTCCCGGGTGTTCGTTCATATGTGTGTGTGAAATACCAGGCACACATGGACATACATAAAGCCTCGATCGGGACGCTCGCTATAACCACCGGCCGATTGGCAATCGCACGGCATCGAAAATTGGCAATCGCCAATCTATAATTACAATTCATATGCTAAAATTAAAAATGACGAAAATCGTCATGATTGGGTACGCCAAAAAAAAAAAAAAAAAAAGAAGGAAAAATAAGAATAGGAAACACACTCTACACACTCGTAGATAAGCCGCTAGAACTCTGATTTCTGATTTCCAAGCGAGTTGATATTTTCTGATTTTCTGAAGAGCCCGCCTCCTCTTTTCGGCTCGGATTCCACAATCTTTATAGCTCGCAAATTGATCACGATCAAATCGGCGTTTTGTACTGTATAGAAGCGACAGAGGTGGAGGCTTATCAGTCGCCAGTAATCGCTGCCTGATCTCATTCATTATAATATAGGTACTCGCCTATGGAGGCTTCGCCAGCAGCGCTGTCTCTCATTAATGAAATATTGATTGCTAATCTTTTACATAATGGTTCAGTACGCCGTTGATGAGAACTTTAATTTTTATACCGTGTATCTTCAGAAAAACCCTTGTGATATTTAATGATAGATCCTTGGATAATTCTCGGGCACGTTTATGCTTTCTAGGATTACCTTTCCGAATATTTAGTGGTATTAGAAAAGATCAGACATTGTGAAGACCGAAAAATATCTATTATTTAACCCTATTTTCTGCTATCAGACTAATTTAGTTTCCGCTGCGTTCAGCGGCATAATTCCTCAGAACTTTAAATGATCTCATTAACTTTTATGAAGATCGATAATGTGTGTTTGCCTAATTTGCAGTCTTAATAATGATCGATGGTTGAATTAAATCCTGGTTACCAATAGCTAGAAATGAAAATGGGAATGCTAATGCAATTTATTATAGAAATAAGTCTCCACTTCAATTAAGTTTAAATCCTTAAATTAATCCTTAATAAAATAATTTAAATAGGTAAAACGATTACTTTGGGCTTTACGAAAACTGAGGGTTATTTACTTTAAATTATCTACGGTTTTTAGAGTGCCAAATTTATATTTTTTCCATTGGATCTGCTATAGTATCACTTGAATATTGATTTTTCTTATTTTTAGTTGGATGCCGCACCCATGGCATCGATCTTCACGAGGAGACCCAACTGCAATGGATGTCCGAACACCTGAGCTATCCCGACAACTTTCTGCATCTATCGGTGGACTTCAAGGATGTTTAGCCTATGTCAATGTGTATATATATATTCTCGATGTTTTGCCCAGTCCGCGTGTGAGTGTGCGTGTGTGTGTGTGCGTCCATGTCCGTGTGTGTGTTTGTGAGAGTGTGTGTGCCGTTCTATTTTTCGATTCCAGCAAATCCCAGGGCGATCCTCCGCGATCGATTTACAGTCATATATACGCCTAAATGTATATATAGAAATATACGACTAGTTAAGCTAATCTGTATGTAATGTTTATGATATACGCCAGCATTTAAAGGAAGCGAGCAGCGCAAACCAATCGATTACTGGAACTACCCACTAACTAATGATACCCCCATTTACTATATATAACTCGATTCAATCTGCCAGTTTGAGTTGCGGAAATGTTTTCTGAAATTAAACCACAGTTTTTTAGTTATTTTATCAAATTACATATTCCTTTCCTTTTTCTACTTTGCAGTTTTATTATTAAAATAACATCACACTACATTAACGATCTATGAAACCTATTTTGTATTGACTTAATCAAAATATATATACAAAAGTTATGAAAAATTGTATTTGTTTTTGGGGGGAAATTTTTAATATGAAATTGTTGGGGATTTTTTTTTAGTTTTATTCTTTTGATAAATATGATTAAAACAGGTAAAACTTTTTGGATTTATTTTTTTCAGCTCCAATAAAAACAAATATAAATATGTGGTGCAATTTCAAGAAAGTCTGAGGTAAGTACCCTTTTAGTTTACAATTTTTCTGGCGTGTGGATCGGCAGATCGGTTTCACTGTTCATCGATCAACCTCCATTAGATACTTTTAAGCCGCCGGAAACTGGTCAAGCCCAACAAACAAACTAGCAAACGGTCTGGGTTATCAATTTCGCTTGCGATTTATCCGCCTGTCGAGATAACGCCCGAAATCGAAAATTGGGTCTGGACTGGTGGCAGTGCTATATCTTTTTCGGTTAGCCACCCGGCGGACCTTACACAATACGTTTTTGGCCAACCCCGAAATCGTTCGGCGATCTTAACCGAGTTTCCTTTATTTGAAGAACATCGATTTGACACTGTCAGCGGAACATATAGCCTATAGTCATCGTGTAGCAACAACATTGTCCTGATCTATAATTAGTTGACGTTCTAGCCCACTCGAGAATGATTTATTTGATTGTTATTCGTATCGTTTGTCTGCCACATTTGCCCCGGCGAGTCCCAAAAATAGCCGCAAATCTGATAAAAAGCCAGTCCAAATTAAAATCAATTTTCGTATGAATTATTAGCCGAAAATAGTGCATGTGGGTAGGTAAGGTAGTAAGGCTTCTCAAGACAAGAGGGGGTTAACATTATCGCAAATCTGATGGATTCGGCGAAGTGCTCCCGCAACATTGATGGATCCTTGCGTTCGTCCTCTGTTCTGTCAGCGATTCTGATTGATCAGGGATCTTAAGGGTTCGGCGGGTGCATTGGGTTGGTTTTTCCAATAAAAGTGGGTGGATATACCAATATATACCTATACTTATATCTATCCAAAATGATATTAAATCTCTTCGATTAAAAATTACTGATCTGATTTTTCCTCTCTTTCCAAGATTATTTTTTGTAATTTTTCTTTCGTGTTTTGAAGGCTGTCATTTTTACCACAGCTGCTTTTACGTTATGTCATGTAGAACCCAAAAGATATAGAGCAAAGAAACCGATTTCCAATAAAAGTGGGTGTATATCCTATACCAATATATACTTATACTTATATCTTGTTACCAAAATTATATTAAATCTCTTCGATTAAAAATTACTGATCTGATTTTTCCTCTCTCTCCAAGATTATTTTTTGTAATTTTTCTTTCGTGTTTTGAAGGCTGTCATTTTTACCACAGCTGCTTTTACGTTATGTCATGTAGAACCCAAAAGATATAGAGCAAAGAAACCGATTGGTACAGTTCAGAGCTGAAAGAATTCATATAAGACATTATGTCACGATTGTCGATCGGATCGCGCGAGATCCGTTCCCTTGATTACAACATCACTCGCTTGATCAATAACAAACTATATAAGCGTATATATATTTTAAATAGCCATAGAGACGATCGCCATCTGCAAAGGCACTCGAGACTTGAATCTCGAGTCTCGGGACTCAGGTGAATTCTATTCAATTGCTGCACTGCACGGCACTGTTTCGTCTTCCCCTATTTACTTTGTAAAATGTTGGCTGGCTGCAAATCAAAATATATATTTTTTGTTACGTCCGAGCGATCGAAATTTGTCACGTGGCATGAAAGCACAGCAACAAAAACCGCACATTTCGATGGGAGGTGGAGGTGGGCAAAAAAAAAAAAAAAAAAAGACACGAAAAAGTTTACACGGCAACGCGGTTCGACGAAAACAACACGAAAATAAATCGAAATTTAGCAATCATCTGCGGTCGGTCGGTCGCTCCTCCCACAGTTTCCCAGTTTCCCATACCTGTGGGCCCCACCTCGCATCGAAAATCGAAATGTGTTCCCTGTCACGGGGACCCATCTTTGCGTTTGCCCATCTTCGCGGGGTTTTTTCTTTTTTTTTTTTTTTTTTTATCTTTTTTTGGAGTTTCTCATCGAGAAGGTTGTATGGCTTCCTAACACCTTGCTCTTCCCATTTCATTTCTGTCCCTAAGTTCGTCATCTTTTGTTCCCTGTTCAAAGTTTATCTTTCACTGTGGCTTTTTTCCCAATCTTGTGCATCTACATAAAGGTATGTGGCTTACATTCATGGGTTTTTTCCCTTCCGTATTCCTGTTAGGCTTCCCGATTAAAATCCCTGTTTCAAAGTGCTTTAAATTTGATTTAGCTTAGTTTTAATTCCGGAGTGGTTGGTTCATATATGTAGTTCTCCTAAATCAATACCTCCGTTCTTTTTTCAGCTAGTCTCTCCCCTTCTACCTTCACCTTTTCTCCCATTTTTACTTGACTACGTGGGAACGATCACCTGAACTATGAAACCACATAGATGCCAACAGTTCCGATCTCCCGGCAACATCCACACACCATTTTCAAACAGAAAAAATATTTTAAAAAAACTAACGTAAAGGTAAAGTTGGTTCACAGCCTTATGTGGTTTCTGTAGAATATGATTTTAAATATTACCAAATGATCAAAGTTAGTAAGTTTTTTGTTCTGTGTACGACTAGGGTATCCCAGGGGGTCTGCGATCGCCTCCGTCCGTCCGCTGAGTCCGCAAATGTCGCAGAAATTCTTTGGCAGCGATCGGACGGATTTGCTTCGTTTTTTTTTCGCTCTGCTGAAGGGATTGCGCGTCAAGTGAAAAACAATGACTATGTGCCGCTCTGACTCGAGAACCAATCCCCAAAACTTATCCGATCTGATCCGATCCGATCCCAAGCGATCCCCAAACGATCCCAAACGATACGATACGATGCGATAGCTGGCGGCGGTGGCGGTTGCGGTGGTTTCTCTGATGCCAATGTGGATGTGACGGTGGCTGTGGCTGTGGCTGTGGATCTGGTTGTGGATGTGACTATGTGGATGGATGGATGTGGCTGCGGATAGCGGTGGTGCTGTGCTGTGCTGTGAATGCTGAATGCTGAATGCTGCGGCTCGGAGCTCGTGATTGGCGCACACATTGGCAAACGAGAGCACTTTATTTTTAAACGTTTTAAAAATACGATCATTATAGAATTTGCGGCTTAGTCATACCCCGCCGACCAAAATGTGCCAGCGCGAATTTCGACCAGAAACCGAGGCATTTTCGAGGGGATTAGGGAAGGGGGTTGGAGTGGGGTGTGGGCGGTGGGTGGTGGTGTGTGGTCCAAATGGGTGGGTACGCGGGAGGGGGCGTGGCAGTGGCGAAATGTCGAAATGTTGAAATGGAAAGCCCCAAAGCCTCAAGCTATGCCCTGACAACCCATGAGTTGTCACAATGCGGCACGCAAATACAATACACACACACGCACGCACACTCACACACACTAAGTCAAACATCGCCGGAGATCAAACGGCGATCGATTCTATAAATGGGGCCTTAACCTCACACATTTGTCAGTCATTCAGCCAGCCAAGAATTACCACCGATCCGAAAATCAGGGAGATCTTTCTAGACTTCGAACAAAAAACACCGGGGGGTATTTAGAAAAATATTAGCAAGCGCTTAGTCAACGAACTACGTAAGTAGATATACTTTTAAATGATTAAGTAATGTCCTTTCATTCAAACAGACTATGGTTTCATTCTTCTTAACCATAAGTTTAGGAAACCATCTGTTGATCCATGAAGGTGAGAAAAATTCCCAATCGTTTTCTATCTGAAAAGCAAAACCTCGATTGAAACTCCGCCCAAAATTCAATGATAAAACCAGTTCAATTTAAAGTTTTTAGTTTTCTGTTGTTAATTTAATCAATTCATTTTGTTATTGATTTTTGTTGTTGCTTGTTGGTTGTTGTATGGTCACAAAATTATTGTTGTTGTCAAATGTTATATATAAAAATACTGATTTTTTTATATATAAATATTTAGGTGTATATCTCTCTGTGTGTGTGTATGCACTTTTAAATAGGTTCAGTAAAGATTTCCCTTGGCAATGAAAAAAAACGTAATCATCTTGCTTGTATATAAATATATTGTATATATGTATATTGTATATAATTATAATTAACTTTTAGATGTAACTGCTTAAGATTACATTTAATTTCTTGCTCTCATTTGTGTTTGTAAATATATATATAGTATATATACGTATAGCTATATATTTATTAAGCTTCAGTTTTCAACAATTTTATTAAAATTTTGTTTGTTGTTTTTTCATATCACAAGAATTTTCAATTTTCAATTTCCAAATAAAAAAGTGTGTATTTGTAAAGATGTGTGTGTTTGTTTCATTTTTTAAAGCTTTACTCTTAACAATTTTCTCAGTTTTTCCAGTTGCATTTTTCACAATTTTCTCACCCCCTTTCCGCCCGTCTCTTCCTCTTTTACAAATTAAATTTAGCGTTGAAATTCTTAAGCAAATTTAAATGTTTCGCTTTGTTTTAGTTTTTGTACACAATTATTTACACAAGCTAAACCAAGAAAAAAAAAAAAAAAAAAAACTGAACCTAAGCTTAATTTGTTCTTAGTTGGTAACCAAAAAAAAAAAAAAATTTGGGTCTTATATCCTAGGGTTGGGGCATTTTTTTCTGCTTGATATGCTTGGAAGATATATGTCGTCGCTTAGATGTACAATTGTTGTTGTTGTTGTTTAAGGTAAACTTAGGTGGTAGAGCTAAAAAAAATGTGTTCTGCTGTATCTTAAATATGGCTTAGGGAACTAAAAGGCCAGGCCCAGTGACTGCCGTTGTAACCGATCCGATTGGTGGGATTGCTGCTTTCCTTACTCTCTACGATTCAGTGTTCAATGTTGTATGTGTGTATTTGTGTGTGCTCCCCTTTCCCCCTCTTTTTTTCCCCCTTTTTAGGCCACCAGGGTCAGGTTTGTGGGCGCAGGATCCGCCACAAGGATCAGCGGCAGGTTGGCGGACAACGAGGACGATGTCCTTGCACTCGCCAGCGACTCCTGATCCAGCCAGCGTTGCAGGTGCAAGTGCTGGTGTTGCAACTGATGTTGCTGCTGGCTTTGCAACTGATGTTGCTGCTGCTGCTGTTGCATGTACATCAGATTGTCGTTGTAGACGGCGTGCAGCTGGAGATTGAGGCTGTAGTTGCTGCCGCTGTCGCTGTAGGTGGAGGAGCTGCTCTCGTAGCCGGAGACGGGCGATCCTTTGGGGCAGCAGAAGCCGGTGGGCGAGAGGGCGGGGCCCGAGAAGGGGCTGAGGGGCGTGGTTGCCTTGCTGGGGCCGCCGCAGTTATCCTGAAACTGTTGATTAGGACTCCCGCCGCCGCCGCCGACGGGAAATGTCTGCTGTTGCTGCTGTTGCTGTTGCTGCTGCTGCTGCTGTTGCAAGTTGCCAATGGGGCACTGAAAGCTGGCAGTGGAACTGCCGGGCGAAAGGCAGCCGGGATACGGATGATTGCTCCAGATGATGGGCTCCCTCTGCTCGCTGACCACCGATGGCTTCTTCTTCAGGCGGCGCTGCTTCTTGTCGGCGGACGACACTTTGGAGTCCACCTCGTCGTCATCGGCATCCCGGGACTCATCCGCCTCCTGGTCACGCTTCTCCTCGCCGGCAGCCGGCAAATCCGACTCGTTGTCCTGCTCCTCCTCCTCGTCGTCCAGCAGATAGGGCTTGAAGAGCTTCACCTGCTTGGAGGGCAGCTTGTGCTCCTCCGGCTGCTCCGTCTCCACGTCCACATCCACCTCGACGTCCTCGTTCTCGTTCTCCGTTTCCGCCTCCGCCTCCGCCTCTGCTTCGGTTTCCGCCTCCGTTTCGGGTTCCTTCTTGATCACCTCCACCTCCAGCTGCACCTCCAGCTTGCTGATCTTGTCCGGCTGCATGGGACTGGTGGCCACTTTGCGCTTGCGGAAGGTGAGGTCCACGCCCGAGGGATCCTCCTCGTGCAGCTGCATCTGGCGGCGGGCGGAGGAACCGAGGGAGAGGTCCATGGGCGCGGGCGTGGCCACCGCCTCCAGGCGGCTCTCCAAGAAGGCGTGGCTGTGGAGCTGCGGATGCGGATGATGGTGGTGCTGGTGGTGGTGGTGGTGGAAGGCATAGGGCATGTGTGGAATGTGACTGGCTGGCGATGACGGGGCTCCTCCTGCTGGGGATCCACTCAGAATTGGCACTTGTATTGGCACTTGGTTGCTGGTGTTGCAGCTGTTGCTGTTGCTGCTGCTGCTGCTGCTGCCGTTGTTGCAACTGCTGTTGCTGTTGGTCGGCAATGTGTTGCTGCTGCTGGCGGGGATTGCTGTTGCTGGCGTTGCTGCGGGATTGCCATTGCTGGTGGCCATGGCGGCGGCAACAACGGCGGCGATTTTCACAGCCGAAAGGACACTCGAGGAGGAGCCTTGGTTGCTGCCATTTGTTGCAGCAATAGTTGCTGTTGGCTCCGCCAGATCCTGCTGCAACTTGTGTTGCTGCTGCTGCTCCTGTTGCTGCTGTTCTTCTTGCAACTGTTGCTGCTGCTGCTGCTGCTGCTCCTTCTGATGTTGCAGTTGCGGGTGAATCGCCACCGGGACATGCAGATGGGGATGGGCGGCCAGTGGGTGTGGCACCATCCCGTTGGCGGCCAGCAAGTGATGGGCGGCATGATGGTGGGCCGCCGCTGCTGCCGCTGCCGCTGCTGCTGCCGCCGCCGCTGCTGCCGCATGATGATGATGTGCCGCATGATGGTGGGCATGATGATGGTGGTGCGCCGCGGCAGCGTGATGGTGGTGCAACTGGTGCACCAGCGGATGGTTCAGCTGGTGGAACACCTTGACCGCCGACGGTGTGGGCGATACCGATTGCTGCGGGAGGAGTTGCTGCTGCTGATGTTGCTGGTGTTGCTGCTGCTGCTGGTGGTGCTGCTGCTGTTGGTGTTGCTGCTGCTGCTGCTGCTGCTGGTTGTTGGCCACCGAAGATCGCAGATTCGACTCGCACTGCAGCCACTTCTGGATTTGCCGGCGGTGAATGTTATATTTTCTCGCCGTGGCCCTTTGATTGCCCTTGCAGTCATTATCATTTCTGTACGATTCCAACACCTGCAGCTTAAAATGGGGCGTGAAAATCCGACGACTGCCCATCTTTGGGCTCCCCGAAGACGAGCTGTTGTTGTTGTTGTTATTGTTGTTTGTCGAGTTCTCCGCGGAAGAATCCTTGGGCCGCTTAAAATTCAAAGCTCCAGAGCCGTTCAACTGCTCGCTGCTGCTATCCATGTTGGTTTTTTGTATGGGTTTTTTAGTCTTTCAAGATTTATTCTGAGAGTCGAGTTATATATTTTTTTGTATCAAAATATATATAGAGATGTATAAAAGTGTGCTGGCTAGCTGGTGTTTTGTAGGTTTAGGTGCTTTTGTTGTAGCTGTTGTTGCTACTTGCGTGCGACGCTTGCGCTTTCATAACTCGCGATCTGGCAGCTCTGTCCCCAAAGCAGCGACGTCGACTGCGACTCACACACACACACACGCACTCTGATACTTTTGGAGTTTATAATCGGACAAAAAACACACTCTGTTTAAAATCCGTTTCGTGGTGTATACGACGTTTATATTGTATAGTGTATATCAGAAGACACAGTTAAAAAAAATGTATAAGCACTAATGTTTGTGTTTTTTGGCTGACTGACTGGCTTTTAGTCTTCTTTTTTCCTGTTGTTTTAGCTACTTCGTACGTTTTGCTACTACTACGCTCTTCGCATACAACTCGCGTTTGCGATCCGCACGGCAAGGAATCCAAAACACAATTGTTCTGCCCTCGGCGTTCTAGTTCGAAGATACGTTCTAGACGGCCGCTCTCTGCCGGCGTCACTGTCGGCGTCGCTGCTCGGAGTGCTCACTCACAAACACAGACGTAGAGTGCCTGCCTGTCTGCGGCTGCCGCTCGGGTTGTTATTGCTGCCGCCGCTGTTGCGCTGCCTTCGTGTGGGTGTGCAAGAGAGCCGAGCCAGAAGCAGAAGCAGAGGCGGAGGAGAGAGCGAACGCAAGCAAGAGAGAGCGCAGTCGAGTGGCGCAGCGGCAACAACAACAACGAGAACAAGAAGCATGGCGCTGAGCATTGCAGACAAACTGACGACAATCGTGTCGCGAGGTGTCTGCGTCTGCTTGTGTCGAGTGCTTGCGTGAGTGCGAGCAGGATGCAAAATACCCGTTCGTTGCGTTTTTGTTGTTGCTGCCGCGGCGCTTTTGTGCGCCGTGTTGTTTTTTTCGTCGTGTTGTTGCTGTTGTGTGTGCACGGTGGGACCGAATGAACACCAGGGGACGAACCAACCCATTCCCTTTTCCCCCTTCCTTTTTCGAGTGCGGAGCCACTGCCACAGTCACCCGTCGACTGACTAACTGACAAACACCGCAAACGGGCACAGTAAAGCAAAAATGGTAGGAAAGGGAGTATTAAATGGAGAAAAAAATTACAAAACATAGGTACATATATATAAAATTAAATATATTTTTCAAGTCAAATAAATTACATATTTCTAAAAATGTCTCTTTTCAAAAAGCTCTTGAACTAAATTTTATTATTTTATAAAAATTAAACAAATTTTAATTGTACTAGCTTGCTAAAAATAATTTAAGCACTTATTATAAAGATGCTAGAACCAGTTCTTATATTACTTAGCAGTTGGCAGGGAGTATACATAAACATATATGTACATATGTATATGCATATTTTAAAAATAATAAGTCAAGATACAAATAGCAAAGAAATCGATAACCACTTGTTGGAAGCTTTTTCCCCACTGTGCTGCGACTTTCGTTAGCGACTGCGGTTGCTGTTGCCGTGTTGTGTTGTTCTTGCCTTAGCTGCTGGCCGCGCTACAAATTCGCTGGCTCTGCCAGTTGCTCACACAGATACTCACTTACACAAACTCGCAGGCTCACGCTGACCCATTGGAGTGGTGTGTGTGTGTGCGCCTGAGTCGTGGCTGCCAGACATTCTGGCACTGCCACTCCACACGACGCCCCCCTGCCCCCGCCGGCATATCCCCCCACCACTTTTGACCCACACCCCTGTGCCACCGACCCCCTCTTCCACTCATTTTACACACACACAACCCGAGAAGTAAACGACGCAACAGATCGTCGATGAACTTGTTGAGCGCTCTCTCGCCGCCGCTCTCTCACTAGCCGCTCTCTTTCTCTCGTGAATCAACTGTTGAATGCATTGCTGCATTTTTTATATTTTTACACACACAACGAATGGTTTCCAACTATCTTGGTTTTATTTTTTTACTCGTTGTTATGGCCGTGGGTGCATATATAATATATATATTTATATATGTGTAGCTATAGTTTATTTCTGTCGACGTTGCCGCCGTTCTGTCTAAGCTTAAAAAGTAAAAAATATAATATAACGAAGAACAACTAAAAGGGCATGCAATAAGTGCAACAACAGCAAGAGGGGACCCTCCGCACTTGTTGCAAATGACAAACGAAAATGCTACCTCTTCTTCTTCTACATCTGTCGCCTGTTCTTCCTCTTGTTATTCTCCTGCTTCGGCAAAATCTGGAATTCATGAATGAAACACATACTCACACACAGACACCTCGCTCTCTTTCCCTATTTGCATGCGTATGAGTGTTGGCGACAGTGGGTTGCTTTGCTTGCGTGTGTATGCAAATTTATGAAAATAAAAAACATAAAACAAAAATATACAAGGTGTTGTTGTTCAGCATCAATTTGCGCGTGCGATATGGTAAAATATAAGGGGGAAACGAAAGATCTTTGAGTCACCAAGCTCTTTAAAATATCTCGGAAAAAACAACGATGATAGATCTCTGGGGTCCAGATTCCCACGTCGGTAGGGCCCCGCCCCACTGTACCCAAAACCCCCAATTTTTTATTCGTCTGTACTGTGGGATGAATGCGGATCCCACAGTACCGACGAATAAGAAGTTGACGACGGACTGTCTAGAAAGATCAAGGAAGGAGGAAAAGGGACGACAAGACAAGATGGAGTCTGCGAAGCGCCTGCACATAAAAAAATAATACACAAAAAACTAAGAAAAAACAGATTTAAACCGTATGTACTGGAATTAAAAACATGTTACTCTTATAATTAGAAATTCAACAAAATTTAATATTAAATACATGATAAGGTATTCGTTGTTTTTAAAATCATTTGTGTAAAAAATTAATTAGAGTAAAGATCACAATTTTTTTAAAAAATACATTTTGAAAAAGAATGTGTACGAAATTAAAAAAGAAGGCGCGAAAAATACATTTTTGAATTGCATTTCCACGTAATGCGGCCACAAACAACACAAAAATATGCCGAAAAAACGCACACACATACGAAAAATTCAACCGACAAAAAGTTCAAAAGCAACACACACAACACTGCCACATAAAAATCAAAAGAATTCCACTTTTTTTATTTAGACCCCGTCGGCTTCTAAATCGATTTATCAAAAACAAAACAAAAAAAGAAGCGGAAAAGACGAAGCCAAAGAGATAAAAATTGAATATAAAAAGGTAACGTAAAAATCGAAGAAACCTATACACACATACACCCATACCCATGAATTGATTAAAAAGTTGAGAAAAAAACCAAGTATAAAAAATTGGGAAAGGGAAAGGGCGCGGCAGCCGACGAAAAAGGAGGAGAAGTTGGAGAACGACGTGCTGGGGCACTTATGATCTCCAATCTCACGGAGAAGGGGGAGCGAAGAAACAGGAGGTGGAGGAAAAAGAGTGGGAGAAGGAGAAGTGGGGAAGGAGGAGAACCTCACTTTGCTTTTTTTCAACGAAGCTGCCGCCGCGCTGTCTGCGTTTGAATAAGCCCACACAAACAATCACACACGAAAGAGCCACAAGGGGGAAGGAAGACAAGAGGAAGACTGAAGAATCGCAAGATGGAGCCACAAAAAGAAGAAGCACAAATGCCAGGATACACTCAAAGGGCCGGGAGAAGAATGGAGCCCATAGAAGGATCTTAACCCACAAGATGTGATCCTTTTTTATTAACGAACCTAGAACGATTTTCAAAGGATACATTTTGGGGAGTTTCTTAAAGAAAATTGTAATTCCAAAATAAATAGTGCCAATAATTTAATATCTCCCCCGCTGCAATGCCAACATTCCTATCTACATATATTATCCTCTTCAGAACCCATAAGTACAAAAAAAAACAACAGGAAATTCCTCAACTATGAAGGCAGGCACGCTCATTTAGCCTATGACTAAACCCGAAGAGTACAAAATATAGGTATATATATAAGCGTTATCAGGCGATAAGATCAAACAAAGGCGATTCAAGTGCCAAGTTCTATTTGTCGGCCAATAAAAGTCGATTCTGTAAACAATTTTCGACGGAATGGGGCTCGAGCAATTACAAAGTGCACTATATAGTGGCATCCACAATCGGAATCGTGAATACCCCCTGTATATACATATATACAAATATACGTATTCGTATACATGCTATATGTGCGCACAGCACACTCATATCGGCACTATCTATCTGAACACGTAGTGCCCCCGGGTTATCGGTTGGGGGCCCCTGCTGCAATCTCTTCGCCACTGACCACTCCGGTATCTTTATGGGGTACGTCACCCCCTCGAATAAGCCCTATTTGCTATTGCCCCCCACCGATCCACGTGGGTCGATCACGTTTCGGGTGGCGAGCAAAAACTTGATCCAGGAAACATTGTTCGAGCGCTAAATTATATCAGTTGAAGGCCTAAATGATATAGTACGTATGAATAGTTATTACAAATTGCAGGTTCCACTCTTGTTTTTCCACCGATATCACGTCTCTTGTGCTGTTCAGATTTATTCCTATCAAACTGTTTATGGTTTGCAAAAACAAACAGTACCTAAGTGTTATATACATAAAATTATAAGACCAATTCTTATCAATGTGTTTTATTAGTTTTTAAAGTGATCTGTTTCAGAAAAATGATTCATATATGTATACAATTAATTGATTGACTGGTTTCCATTCTCTGTAAAGCTTAGCATTGACCCAGCCTGTTTATAGCTCATTATCGCCCCACTTCACGGTTAGTAACTAAAGCTTCAGACTAATCGAAGTCGTAATATTTTCAATAATTAGATTAGTAACCTTCTTAGTGAGTTTCAGTACAATCTAGGCTAGTTCCCTTTTTTGAAAACCAATTTTAGATGTTCTCCAAAACCTAATTATAATATTTGCTTTTGGAGCTTTTGATTGTTGTATGGCTATCACATATCGCCGAATCCACGTTTTTCACCGTATGACGCCTGCGTTTTCCGATTTTCCGGTTCATTATTTGCTGCGCTACTGGGAATGTGTGAAATATCCATTTTCAGTTGTTCTCCTCGAACCTTTTCAGTTCGGCTCCTCCTCGTTTCCCCCCTCTTCAAAGTTCTTGTGTGTTTGCCCAATCTTAACGACTTCCAATGGCAGCATTAAGGATCGTTCGCTGCACGATCGTTTTTACTTGGGATGGGTTTTCCCCATCCACTCCTCCCCAACCTCCTCCTCTTCCGATTCCCAATTCCCGATTCTCGAAGAATCGACTCGCAGGTCCGATTCCAGGTAACTACGAACCGAAGCGAACTCAGGCGCCTAATGGATAGTTCTTCTCGGAAAAGAAAGCGGCCTGCCAAAGCTGCGAGCCAAAAAGCCAGCGTCATGGTAAAGTAACGTTGTCGTTGTCCCATCCCCAGTATCCCCATGACCCCCCTCCCCTGCCTCCCCAGTTGGCCGCCCCGCTCGGATCTCAAGACGCCGCAGTCCCCCGCTTGGTGGGGCCCCTATGGGCCAGACATTGGGCCGCCTTGGCGGTT